CTCCTGCTCGTTTTGAACTCTTGAAAAGGTTCTCTGTATCGAGATCCTGCTGCAACTGGTTCCAAATTTAGTTTTTAAGGAACACTTACACACTCTACAAATATCGTTTGGAAGCGCCACATAAATTGTTTTATTGTAGCTTTTCTTTTGTTTTGCATTTTGTTTATTTGTTCAGTATAGGCTTTGTTACATGTTTATATCGGAAGTGAAAAAGCGCTTCCGGCCTATTTTTAAGTCGAATGTTATTGGTTTATAGTTAATTAGACCATGCATCAAATGCTGAGCATGCACTGCAGGCGTTTCCTTAGCCAAAGCCCCTAACCAAAACGCCTGCTCTGCAGGCTCTCCTCTCACAAGCACAAATCTTCAGAGAAAGATGAAAATATTTTATCTGATCTCTTGGAATTGAAACTATTTACAAGCATCAATGATTATTTTCATGTAGGTTTCACAAATATATCATCAGACACATTAGCAACATTAGACAATGCGGCATTTCATGACTAGCTGAACAAACACAAGAGGAACATTCACCAAACACTATACGGGTGGACACATCAGAAAATGAAGAGGAATTATGACTGTGAATACTGTAACACTTGAACAACAATAATTTTCATGGCTGTAGCACAGGCTAGACCACCCTGGCTTGAAAGGATTAGATGCACAATTTTCACTTGTCCTATTATAATATACACCTATTCCAATTAAGGTTAGTGTCACAGACAATAGGTAAATGCACAATGGAACGCTAAAAATGATCTTATTTTAACACATCAATAGCCTCATGGGAATACAAATTAAACTGGAAATACATGCATGCAGCAACCCCTCGCCTATATTTTCCAAACATTGTTTCAACATGAAGTATTCGTAATTACGCCAACACTGAACGCAGGCTCGCGTTGCTACGTCATGTTCGTCATGGCAACACGATAATTGTTTTTTTAATTTTTTGTACAAACATGCATAAAATAGTTGATATTTGAACACTTTTAAATACAGAACTATCAATTCTAAAATGTATAAAGTAGGTAGTATTATTTTGGTTTCTATGGGCTTTATTTAAATGTAAAATTCTAAACGAAACTGTACGTAATACGTTTTTAATTAAATGTGAATTGAAATTAACTGCTTTCTGCTGATATTTACATACTCCTCAACTCGACCAACTTTATTCAATGAATTTAATATCTACGACGAGTTTAGGAATATAGCAAGTGACCGGCCTAGCGTTCTAAACTCCGACTTAAATCAGTCAACTGAAGAGATTATAAATATATCCCATAATGAAACTGATATACATAATGAGTCAGTTCTTATTGTTAAAGATCAACCTAGCGTCTCGAATACCGATCTCGTAAAAAACTGCACACTAACTGAAGCTACTAATCTAAATAAAGCCAGTAAAACTAAGTCAACAACGGGTAAATTTAATACCAGCACATCTCGATTAGGTAATGGACGTTTTAACCGAATGACACCTAAACGCCCAAAACATTTAACCCCGTGTCCATTCCTGAGGAAAAGAAAATTCTGTAAAAAAGGCAATAATTGTGACTTTCTACATCAGAAACCTCAATTTTATAATAACATCCAACGACCCTCCTATAAGATAATGGACAAAGCTGTCTCCTCGCCCAGTTTTCATTACTCCCCTTTTCCTGTGAATCCCTATTATTTCCCTCCATTTCGATCCCCAATATACCACCCCACATCCCAACCTTTTCCATACCCTCCTTCATTGATGTCAGTACAAACAACAGGATATTGAGTACTGATAGACATCCGCGTAATGGTCGTTGTCACCGTGCTCGTACTCATAACCCTTCAAACTGTGTCTGCGTGTCTGTACATAGAACTAACTTAAATTCAGATTCTCATACAAAATTCCTACGTTTCGCCAATGTTAATGCGAGATCTCTTAAAAACAAAACAGCCGAAATCGTTGATCATGTTTTGAGCAACGATATTGATGTGTGTATTGTGACTGAGACCTGGTTAAAAGACGTTGACACTGTTAGCATAGCCGCGCTTTCTCCCCCTGGTTACTCTTTTAAAAACCTTCCTAGACAATCTAACAGAATGGGTGGAGGCACTGGCATTATGTTTAATACCAATTTTAAAGTTACTTTAATTGACGGAGGTGAAAAACGATCTTTTGAATACTCTGAATGGAACTTGGCTTTACTCAACCGTACGATTAAAACATTAGCACTCTATCGTCCACCTTATTCACAAACTCACCCTGTTTCTTCAAGCGTTTTCTTCGAAGAATTCTCCAACTTACTTGAGAGCATTGTTATGTGCACAGAAGTATTAGTAATCTCCGGTGACTTTAATTTCCATCTCGATGATCCGTCTGATACTGACGCGAAAACATTTACTGATTTATTGGAAACTTTTGGCTTATTACAACATGTTACTGTACCAACTCATTCGTCTGGGCATACCCTGGATCTTCTAATTTCGAGATCGTCCAATGACATTAATATTCACCTAGTCAAGACTACTTTCTTTTTGTCAGATCATTGTTTTGTTGAATGCAACCTCTCTTTTCCTCGCCCGAATCTTGTGACAAAGGAAATTCAGTTTCGTAAGACAAATCATTTGAATCTTCAGGCCTTCAAAGCTGACATCACTGATTCCAAACTGTGTAATGACCCATGCTCCAATCTAGATGATTTGGTGAAACATTATGATAATACGCTATCACATATTTTGGAGAAACATGCCCTTTACAAAGAAAGATAGTGGTTGTCAGACCAAGAGTACCATGGTTCAGTGAAGAACTTAAACGTATTAAGGCCAAACGCAGAAAACTGGAGAAAGTAATGCTACGATCAAATTGCCAAAATGATAAAGACGCTTATCGCCAAGCGCGTAACAAGTATGCTACCAGTTTGAAAAATGCTAGACATAAATACTATTCTGATCTTATCGATCAATGCTCGGGAGATTCAAGAAAACTTTTTAAGGTTGTGTCTTCACTTTGCAACACACCTCAAGAAAACTCCTTGCCTCCACATGATGATTCACGTAAACTGGCTGATGAGTTCGGAAAATATTTCTGTCGAAAAATTGAGCTAATTAGAAATGACATTGAAAACGTTGTAGTAGACCCACCATCAGTAGATTATCGTTTACCTGATATCAAATTAGACTCATTTAAGCTCCTGTCAGAAGAAGAAGTCCATAACATAATCATGAAGTCGTCGAATGCAACATGTAACCTTGATCCTATCCCAACATGGCTGCTGAAATTATGTGCCAGTGAGTTAACACCTGTCATTATGAAAATGATCAACTTGTCGTTAAGAGAAGGTCACGTCCCAGAAGCATGGAAAGTTGCCATTCTTATTCCAATTCTAAAAAAATACGGTCTTGATCTAGTCTTTGAGAACTTCAGGCCCGTCAGTAACCTGTCTTTCGTTTCTAAAGCTACGGAAAAAGAAGTTGTTAGCCAGTTATTTAAGCATTGTGCTGATAATGCTCCTCTTCCTAACAACCAATCGTCATATCGTCAATTTCACTCTACCGAAACAGCTCTCCTAAGAGGCCACAATGATATCCTTATGAACATGGACCAACAGAAAGTAACTCTTTTAGTGCTCTTGGATTTGAGTGCCGCCTTTGACACCATTGATCATGAAATTCTGATGGATATATTGAAGTTAGAATTTGGTGTGATCGGAAATGCCTTAAAGTGGATTAAGTCGTTCCTTTCCTGCAGAAAGCAGCGTATTAACATTAAGCAAAAGTTTTCCGCCAATTTTACGTTGAACTGTGGAGTACCACAAGGAAGCTGTCTTGGACCGGTCCTTTTCCTATTATACGTGTCTCAACTGTTCCAGATTATTAACAGACACTTACCTTCTTCCCATGGGTATGCAGATGACACTCAACTTTATTTATCTTTCCGTCCTGAGTCACCCGTTGTCCAAGACCAAGCTATTCAAACTATTAATAATTGCATCGTCGAAGTTCGTGCTTGGTAAGTCTCACATAAATTAATGTTCAATGACACTAAAACGGAATTCTTGATAATTGGAACTCGCCAGCAGCTGTCTAAGGTTACAATCGACTCGATTGAAGTTGGTGATGCTGATATAAAACCTGTACAAGAAGTCCGAAATCTAGGTTCGTGGTTTGACGAACATATGTCGATGAATGTCCATGTGGGCAAAGTTTGCAGCAAAGCATTTAGGGGCTTGTACAACATCCGACAAATAAGGAAGTTTCTCTCCATCGAATCAACTAAAACGCTCGTACATGCCTTTGTGACGTCACACTTGGACTACTGCAATTCTCTCTTGTTCGGCATTCCCCAATACCAACTTCAGCGTCTTCAACGAGTTCTCAATGCCGCTGCTAGAGTGACGTGTCTTATACCAAGATGTGCTCATATTACCCCTGTCCTGATGCACCTTCACTGGCTGCCTGTCAAGTTTCGCGTTGATTTTAAAATTGCACTTCTGGTATATAAAGCCCTCCACGGGATGGCGCCAGGCTACATTATGGAACTGTTGTTAGAAAAACCGAACTGCTGTTACCAACTGAGATCTGATGATCAGGGACTACTTTTTATCCCAAAAACTAGAGCCAAGACTCTTGGTGATCGAGCATTTGTGCATGCAGCTCCGTCAATTTGGAACATGCTACCTTCTGGTATTAGAAATAGTAAAACAATTGACTGTTTTAAATCTCAATTAAAGACTTTCCTTTTTAAGAAAGCTTTCGATTCTAACTTTTAGATTTATAGACACCTATACCTTAATTCTTAATATTTTAGCTACTTGTATATAGTATAACCTCATTGTTGTAAAGCGCTTTGGAATATTTTATATAATTTAAGCGCTGTATAAATCTTTATATATTATTATTATTATATTAGTGCAAGGGGTGCAAACACAATGGAATTCCCTATAGGTAAATTTGCAGGGGGTACAAACACAATGGTGAAAACAATAAATTCAAGATGGCGTCGGAAATCTTGAATCCCCCTATTGTCTAGAATCTTTCACGAGGGCAGACAGTATCCCAAAATGGCGGATTTTGACCTTCGTGAGAAAGGCTAATTGAAATGGAATCGAAATCAGTTTCTCGAGGTGTCCCATGGATAGCTGTCCCAATGATAACGATCTTGTTTTAATTGAAGGTGTTACCTGAGTTGCTTGACTTGAAAAGGGATTTAAACCTTGGTTCAGCCAAATCCAATTGATTGAGATCGGTTTTGATTCGATCCAAAAAGGCCACTATCTTCTAGTTGATCTTGATTTTGTCCCAGAACGTGGTCTTACAACAGCTGACGGACTTGCAGAAGAAGACTTTAGGGCATGATATTTCCAAGCATCAGATATCATTTTTACCTTAAATAAATATTAAAATTAATACAAGTTTGACCGACCGCTTTATATTTTTTTAAACAAGTGGGAAGAAAGGGAAAATTTTTGAGAGTTCAAATCAAAGAAAATCAAATATAAGAAAGCTTATTTAAATAATCGCTGCCTATTCTAATGTAATAGTCTCTTACCTTGTTCTTATATTCTTATATTCTTGCCCTGTTCTTATTCTAATGTGTGTTCTCTTGCCCTGTTCTTATTCTAATGTGTGTTCTCTTGCCCTGTTCTTATTCTAATGTGTGTTCTCTTGCCCTGTTCTTATTCTAATGTGGTGTTCTCTTGCCCTGTTCTTATTCTAATGTGTGTTCTCTTGCCCTGTTCTTATTCTAATGTGTGTTCTCTTGCCCTGTTCTTATTCTAATGTGGTATTCTCTTGTCTTGTTCTTATTTTTCAAGATATTCAAAAAAATAATTTTTAAAAAAGTTTTAAAAGTTTAAAAAAGTTTAAAAAGTTAGATTTTCAAAAAAGTTAAAAAAGTTAAAAGAGTTAGGGTTAGGGGTTAGTGGTTAGGGACACTTAGGGTTGGGGTTAGTGTTAGGTGCCGCGAATTTATTATTATGATAAATTCAAAATGTGTCAAATATGATAAATTCGGACGTGTTTAAGAACTTATTCATATAGTAAATTCAAAGGTGGAGCTCATGCTGAATTGTTGCCACCTAAAGTTTGTGTAATTAGGAATAGAGAAACAAGATTAAGTGGAGATAAGTTTTATAATTTTAACTGTCGGACTCAACGTTTTAAACATAGTGCAATTGTCTATGGAGTCGAACAATATAATAGTAATTCTTAATAGTTAATAGTATAGTTAGTTTTTAAATTAATAGTTTTTAGATTGAAATAAGAGTATCCCTGTAAATAGAGTAGTGTATAGGATATATATTCTCATTTTTAACTGTAATTCGCATTATAATTTAGTGTTTAACTACTTAATGTGAAATTTTAGAAAATAATAATAAAATAATAATATAAACTTGAAATAACCTGTTGGAGCACGTGTTTGCTGGTGACCTATGATGTTATTACACTAAAAAAAACACCTGGTTAACCTTGAAATAACACTATTTGGGTTGTTGTTGTTATGTTACTGTCACGTTTGTGGCATATTCATAATATCAATGAGACAAGTCCTGGCATGGGACCTAGTCTCGTTAGTGTTTCGCCACGATCGTCTATATAGTTACTATTCTCCATATTCTTAATGTAATTATCTATGTAAGTTAAGCTGTTAAATAAAATAAATAAATACTGAAATATACTTAAAATTCCCGGTTAATTAATCACGTAAGGTTAATTAATACGTATTTTTGTAAACTCTTCATTTTTGCCACAGGCAATAACTATACTGACCGACTGGCGACAGATAGACCGGCCGACTCACAGACAACCTGATCGATTGACAAACTGATCTCTGGCCGACTTACCGGAATAAGAAGATCTTTCTCGTTGTCAGACTCGACTATCTTCAATTCCTCCGGGGACAACAACAATAAGCGAAGATGACGAACAATATTTTTCGTCAAATCTTGAACCGGTTTATTGAGACCAATCTGAGAAAGTCAAATTCGCACGTCAGACAAAGTTGTGTTTGTAATGTTGTGTTTGTGCTGTCGTGGTCATTGTTGTTAAGCCTGGTTTCCATATGGTTGTAATGGTCGTAAAATAGAGTCACGATCTTTCTCAACGGCCAGTTTATAATAGTTAATACCTGTAAACCACATACAAATCATAACTATTCTCTAGTCATAATCACTCCGCGTATTTTCAGTTCTAAAATGTTGTATTTCGGCTGATGAGAAAGATCGTAACTCAATCTTTACCATCATTGCGACCATATGGAAACCAGGCTTTATTGTTGTTGTTGTCAGGGTTCGAATTAGACAGGAGGAATCGATTCGCCAATTTCCTTCTTGAAAATTTGAAGGAAATTTCAGTGTAAATTTTCTGAAGAAATTGTAGCCATATTCTTCATTTCACACATCCTTTTAGTACAAAATTACAATAATAGTCAGCAAAATACTCCATTATAGTAAAATACATTCGAAGTGATTGTGAAAATCAACCTTTGATACATTGTTTTGCAAAATGCCATTCGCAAAATGGATGATTTTGCGTTGGCAAAAAGTGACTTTGCATTCGCAATAGCAACCCGCTAATTTGAACCCTGTTGTTGTTGTTGTTGTTAATTTTGTGGCATATTCATAATATCAATGTGACAAGTCCTGGCCTAATACGTTCTTGACCATTTTTGTCCTTACCACATTATGACGTCATACTGTGTATAACTGAACAGACAACGGCAAAACCTTATCTATTTATTGAGTATAATCAGACTTAATGGTCATACCGAATTAACAGTTGCCCATTCCCTCACTAAGGCAATGAGATCAAGCTCATCAATATTCAGGTCATCACTCGCTAACAGTACACAAAATGCTTCCTCGCATAGTTCATGAAAACTTTCCGTTTTAAATACTTCTTGAGCATGTTTTTCAATGTAGTTGAGAACAGTTTCCTTTAAGTTTGATAGACTATACATCACAGAAACCTATGCAAGAAAATTAAATAATTTATTAAAGCCTGTTCAAACTACTATCAATTTTTATTACGGTGTCACAGCGGATACTGTCCCACCGAAAGAGTGTCTCCCCGGACACTATCCGCTAGCTGATACGGTCTCCCGGGACCAGGCTTTTAGCCAGGGTCCTAAAAGAGGGCGTCCAATTTCGGTATAACGATACATCTACAGTAAGGGGGGGGGGTCGAGAAAACATTCCTATGGAAAACCTTTGAAGTTTACGTTACTTCATGTCAGTATTTGTTCCAAGCTCGAAATTTTTCAAACACACTTGGCTTTGTGAGTTTGTGCTGCTATGCTTCTTTACTTAACCATGACATTTTCATTCAGCCAGGTACACCATCAAATTGATCAAACTGTCTAATGTATAATGATAATTGAAGCTATTTTGTTTCAGAAAAATTATTATAGTTAGGGAAATAATTGAAAATAATTTCCCTCCCCCCCAGAATTTGGGCGTCCAAAGGCGTCCATTTTTCGTTCTAGGGGCGTCCCAGGACGCCTGGACGCCCTTCTGGCTAAAAGCCTGCCCGGGACACTATCTGCTAGCTGATACGGTCTCCCGGGACTGCACTATCCGCGTCGCGGATCCACACTCGCGCATTCATGACTTAAGTCCGTTTTCCACTTCAATAAGTCAGGTACGACTAAAAATTTTGAATTATTGCACCCTGCCTGAAGATTTGTATAAAGAACTGTACCTGCATTGCTGCACAAGCAGTTGATATACTCAGCGTATTGGCAATGAACTCACCACATATCTATACATAATATAACATATATAGCAGGAATTAACTTTCAATCTCAGTGAAGAAGATATATTCTAGCAAATAAAATGCAACTACCTACTTGTTGTAATTCATCTAACGAATATTCTGCTGCACTGGCCAGAACATCAATAACCTTAAAAACATACTACGAATAAGAATATCATTTGTTTCATGAAATGATACTGTATTTGGTATTTATATGTTAATTTTAAAATTGTACGATTAGCTGCCGTGTTTTGTGTAGAATGGTGAATAATGTAGCTTCCATGACATTTGATCGTTTAAGGTAGCCCGCTCCACAGGAGAAGTCTCAGGTAGTTCAGACATACAACACAACACCTTGTTACAGTATGGTTTTACCATGTCACAGTAAGAAATATGTATACCATTCTGCAAATCGCTTTTAATTAAAAACAAATTTGGGAGGGGGTATTTATTTTAAGCAATATTTGAGGGGGTAGCTAAATCAATAATAAAGAGGGGGCTTAATAAATGAAAGGATTTAATAGAGAGTGGGTCTTTGATTGAGCCAAAACGTAGTATGATCAACCCTATGAGATATAATATGATACATATACAGTCGTCCAATATTATGATTTCCCACTCACATTTTCTCCATTCAGTGTGCAACAGTTAGTGTAGAGAAACTCCAGCAAACAAAGGAACGTTTCAGGTGAAATATCAGGCAAGATTATCGGGTTTTCTAAACAAACTGTGTGAAGACCATCTTCGTTTTCAAACATTGCTCTGAAAACCTGTGACCTACAAAAATACCCCCCGAAAAATAAAACGTTTGTCAGTGAGCTCATGCAACTGGAGCATTGGAGAGGAACGCTCCTCCATGAGTATAAGATGTTTTATCCTAAGTGGGTCACTATATGTCAGGGGAATGTTCTGTGACTAGCAGATCGAATCATTACATGCTTTACAGTGTGCTAGAATTAGTGAATATCCTCCTGTAATTGTAATATTTTACTGCTTTGGCAGGCATTTGACATATATATGCTGCAAAAGGGTATTCCACTCCACTTAACCCAATGTTGATAACACTAGCATATATTATCTCTTGATGCATGATTAAAGGCAGCACTGATAATGGTTTATATATTAACAAGACTAGAAATTTATATGCTATTGACTAGTTCTTAATTTAATCGTCACATTTTAAAATTATTTAAAATACTTTGTAGCTCAGGTTAAATACAATTATTTAGCATCATAGTTCATTGCTTATTATATTGTACCTTGCAGAAAGAATACAGCTGTTCCCAAAGATTTGTACTCTTGATGAGCCAACAATAAATTTAGCATTACTATAGAACAAAAACATTTAAGATGTAACTAGGGAGTAGGGTAACCAGTATCATATCTTACAATACATTGATATCTCAGTTCCGAAATATCACCAAGTTCGAACCGACTGACCTCGTAGCTCAGTTGGTAAAGCATTGGACTAGTATCCCAAAGGTCGCGGGTTCGATTCCCACCGTGGTCAGGCAAACTTTTCAGTTTAACAGAGTAACCCCATAAAGATATTCACCTGCATGAGTACATAACACCAACACACACAAAAAGTATGGCAACCATTGTTTTTCATGTAAGGAAATTGTTTCAATGTTTTAATAAACTGGTATTGTTCGCAGGGATGGAACCAGCCAGACCTGGTAGGGGGTGCATATAGCTTTGGTCATGGTTCAGGGTGCCACAATTAACCAAATACATAATACTGGAGGGATCGCTACGGCAGCAATTAGACACTATAGTCTGTAGTCTTGCTTGACAAATTCATTCAATGTTCCTGTCAGACTTTGTGTTGTAATCAGCCCCCAGAGTAAAATAACTGCACAAGCAACTGAATCTTCAATTCACCCTTTAATTTGCATTGCTCCCTGATGCACCATACTTTGTTATTTTACTCTGGGGGCTAGGGGGTTTTGGTGCTAGAGCTTGCGTCAAGGGCGTGAGGGTCTTCGGTCAAGGGGACCGGCCAAATCAATTTTAGCTCGGACATACCGAATTTCTGATCGGTCAAATTATTCAGTTTAATTTAAAGCAAAACGTAATAAAGTATACGTTCCTTAAGAATGTGACTATTTTTCCAGTGGCATTGCAAAAAGCCTTGCTGTATAATGAAAAACTCCTTTACATACATAAAATAGCTTGCACTGCGCTTACATTATAGTCATTGCGGTTTACGATAAAAGATGTGCGAAACCGGCGTCACCTTAATGCCTGGTTCACATATATGCCTGCGACGTGCCTGCGACGTACCGGCAACGATGCCGATGGTAGCTTTAAAACGTAAATTATGTGAATATTTGTTCGCCGATTGCCTCCAGTGCCACAGTTACATCGGCGGTAGGCTGGGAAAGTTGACTTGAGTTCAACTTTGCCGGTATTTCGGCGGCAAGTAGAGGCATAATAGGGCCATTTATACGGAACAAAATAAGACGCGACTTACATAAGACGCGACTTAGGTAAGACGCGAGTTTGTCGTATAAAAGGTACAAAATTCTTATGTAAGACGCGTCTTGGATAAGACGCGTCTTACATAAGAACAGGTCTTTTAGCTGTTCTTATTTAAGTCGCGTCTTAAATAAGAAATTTTGGACAAAAAGTCTAACTACACATGCCAGAAACTTGAAACAACGTCAAATTTAATGCCTTGCATATTAAAACAAAAACAACCAAAACAACATTATAGCTATAGCAAATAAATAAGACCAAAGCCGTAGAGAACCATTTATGCGATAACTCCACTTATTTAAGTCGCGTCTTATGTAAGTCGCGACTTATTTTGTCACGTATAAATGGCCCTAATGATACAGTCGCAGGCATGCCGCAGGCATATATGTGAACCAGGCTTAACTGGGACAGCTTGACGATGATTTCTAAGCGGTGGTGTGAGGCGAATGGAACTCTTCGCAATCATGTCAACACAAAAGGCCACTATTTTGAACTTTATTTCAGATTTAGTCAGTGTTTAATTTTATATATAGTTTTTCTCTTTATTTATTACATATTAACTGAAGCTGCCCATCATTTTGTCCTCAGCTCTGGTTGTCTGAAAGTTTCTGACCGGTCCTACTAATTACTGCCCGAGACTGCCCGGGGACTGCCCGGGTAAACATAACGTTATTTATTATATGGTAAGGCAGTGTGCTCTTGTTTTAAATCACTAAGTACATGTATAAAAAGGTTTTTTTCAAAACATTTGGCTGCACGCTAGGACAAATGGCAAAATTTGCACGGCAAAATTTGCACATCTAAAAGTTGTTTCATTAATTAGCAAAACACGCAAACATGTTTAAATAACTGTACGGTTCATAGCCAACCAGAGTTGAGAATTTACAAATCATATTTTACAATAATGTTTATTATAATAAAGCCGGTTACAGACGAGCAACTTGTCTATGACAAGTTTTTATACGGCAAATTCTATTTGTCAAGTGCACTTGTATAGGTGCAAAATAATTTCTATGACAAGTTTTTGGTTTACTGACCGCCACGATAGCTATTGTTGACCATTACAACAATAAATCGCTGACCAACGGCATCAAGTGCTCAGATTACTTTGACAAGTTTTCTTTGTTGACGCATACAGACGAACAAAATTTGTACTTTGACAACTTTTTTTGTGACAAGTACACTTGTTCAAAAATTAGCATGCTAGCTATACTTGTCACAGTAAAAATTGTCAAAGTTGCGTATACAGACGAGCAAATAAAACTGGCCACATAAAACCTTGTCATAACGCAGTATGAAATTACACTATATATAATACATCACTTAATATTTCTGTTTCTGGTCATTGTTTTCAAACTTTTTACTCTTTTCCGTTGGCCTGGTTTCTTCGCAGTTTTACAAGTTTTTGGAATTGTTAGGCGACCATCTGTAGAGGAAACAGTTTTTTTCTTTGCTGGCATACCCTTCATCAATTTTGCGAACAATGCTTCTTTTTCTTCTTTCGTTTTTTGTGTCCAGTGTACATATTGTATTTTGCATTTCGACATCCACGGGGCTAACTCATAGTTTCCTTGACCGTATAAAGCTCTCCTACATTCAGCTTGCTGTAGCTTGACAATCTTGTAAAGTCTTTCGATCAAATCTGGCAATTTCATTGTCTTCCAATTTGCCGAGAGCTTAATGATGTGGTTCATTGACTCACATGAATTGTTCTTCCAGTTAATAGGAAGCCACTTATTCTCTATGCGCGGTTGAAGAACGCCAGATCGAATTTTTTGTGCAGTTTTTCTGAAGTATTCTTCGAACGAAGGTAAATATTTCAAGTATTTGTCGGAAAGTTTCATTAATTTCAGTTCGAACTTTTTGACCTCGTTAAAAGACGTTAATCCATGCTTCCCGAAAATATCGCTTACAACTTGTTTTCTAACTTTGTCACTTACCCCAATATTGTTTGTCAAATATCGGCGAACATTCTCCTCCAAATGGCGCGAACAAAGTATATTCGCAGACGATGGAAAACATTGTTTTATTGCTTTCGTAAGTGCGGCCTCTTCGTCAGATCCAATAACAATTTTAGAGAGCTGTGTTCCACCGATGTCAACATTTAACTTACTTTGAAGATGCGAAAAAAATCTGTGGTATGTTGTGTAAAGTCCATCCCAGTGTAAATAAATTGCAGCAAGCATAATTGGGGGATTACTTGCCCCTTTTCTTATTAAATTATTGTGCTGGTATACCAGAGTAGTCGCAAAACACGCACCAAGATTAAATGTTCGATCTATTCCAAGAACACTTGGATTGCGAGCACTGGATGTACAAAATTGGCGTATGTCTTTTAAATTATCTTCCAGATAAAGTACAACACATGGTGGCTTACCTTTCGTCTGTATTATTTCTTGTATAAACGGATGTTTGTGAATGTCAGATAATAGCGTCTGTACTTCGTCTGCCTGGTTGTTTCTGTAAATATGTCCGTTGTCAATTCTCTTTATCCTTCCTAAAGTGTACTTAGCATTTTGTACTTGCTTTAAATCCCTAGGTGCGCAATCGGAACTATTAAGTACCATATCTTCATAAACTTCGCGAGGAGTGTTTTTAGCTTCGATCATGTCATCTAACTTTCGTTTTACAGCGCAAGATGTGCGGACATAATCACCAGTAATGTTCTTACTGTTCCCATGAGGTATATTGTTTTGTGGAAAGTCACCGATATACTCTGCGACAGCAATGTTCTTGATGTGCAACAATTCCTCTGGACATTCCGTCACTGTGGAAATGCGTTTCTTAAATGACGGGTTGCGTTTGAGAGAAATATAATAACGTTTAAACACAATAATATTAGCACTGTCTGGTTGAGGTTCAATAGGCACTCTTTTACTTTTATTGTATTTGACATACTGCCCGTCTTTCTTGTCGACATAGTCCAGGTTGTTTTCTTCTACAATGTAGTGGTGGGTTTTACAAGATGCCTTGCTTGACCAGGTTCCACAATCATCAGCATAAAATGCTCTTCCACCACGCGCTTGTCGAGATGCATTCTCTTCGTTGTTGAGGACGAACAAAACATTCTCCTTTATACCTCGTGGTACTTCTTTTCCAGATGGACACTACTCCACATAATTACGATTGGCGCTCTGTGTGAACCTTCTTTTTTGGGGGCGAATGTGGTATTTAAAATGGAAATTGTTTTATCCATGAGACCGTTAACCGGTGGAAAAACGGACACAATTCTTGTATTTAATATCACTGATGCTGCACTTAATGTCCACGCGGACGAAAATTTGCAGTTCACTGCGCATTCGTACATTGCTTCCTTGTAGTCAGGAGACACGAGATCAATTCCGCTTTGCTTGTGCTTCTTAGGGTAGTCGTTTCTGTTTTCTACCATTTCAATGCAGGTTCTCACTCGCAACTCTGTTGCCAGGGAAATATTCCCTGCAATGGCAACTGAAAGAGCGTTGAAAAGGCAATTTCCGTTGGCAGGTACAGTAGCAGGCATACGTCCAGGAATCCCACCTATAACCAAGGATAAGAACTATATAGGATGGCTCACAACCTAGAACAGTACGAACAGGTACAGGCTATAGGGCAGCATAGGCTAGAGTATATAGGCACGTTATTCAAAAATATGGATTAAGAATTTCTGCGCAACGTGCTGAAGTTAAGAAAATGGAAAAATATATGTCAAGCTGGATAAAAGTGTTTTCTTTTAAAAATTATGTGTAAAAAATTCATTATCTGAAATTTTGTATGTCATGCTCAGCAGGACAAGCAGGACTGATCTGGCTTCGTCACTGACCGAAACTCCATAGTCGACACGCTATCGATATTCATGCATGTGCACACTGTAGCTATAATTATATTTTTTACTGATTTTGCATTACAAGCTCTTGCTATTCATTAAAATTACATGCATTTGTTAAATTACACCTACTCTGAACTTTACCGAATTGATATCGGCATCTTGATCGGCAACTAGATCAGTAAAACAAACTTAGCCCCCGACCCTTATGTAAAAAATTATGACAGTCTTCGGCATAACCCATAGAAATAATAGACATAGAATGCATGCTCTTATCTTTTCTCAGTAAAAAGGGCAATTGCTAGATAGTATACTTCAAAATAAGGTTTCCGTTTTTATATCAATTTTTAAAATAATTAAAATAAGTTAGGGTTAGGTTAGGGTTTAGGTTAGGGCTAATATTAGGGTTTAGTTTTGCGTTAGGATAGTTTTTTCTACGTTATAAAAACGGAAACCTTATTTTGAAGTATACTATCTAGCGATCACCCAGTAAAAAGTTTGTCTCCACAAAATGGCGCATTGAAAAGGGCATTTTGGTTGGTCCCAGACTCCTGCATCCTCGTTCCCAGGGCCTCTCGGCCGCACGCGTGAAAATGGCTCTGGGGACGAGAACGAGACTCCTGAGGCAAGGAATTTCGCGCGGTTGCAGGGAGTGCGAATTGTTTTTTCAACTGAAAAGTTTGTAAAGTTTGTTTGCTTTGCGAATATTAAATTTGTTTATTAGACTACTGATGTAAATTAAATTCGGTGGTATAACTAATATTTTGGGGCAAGAATTTTCTGATCAAAAAATATGCATATTTTGAAAAAAAAATTTAAAAAGGACTGGGTCTACCTACAAAAAAAGCTTCCAGCACGGCTTCAACTTCCCTCCTGACTTAACCTTCCAGTTATTTATAGTTCAATGGGGCACGCACGGTGAAAAATTTTATACAATCGTACATTTTTTGCCCTCAGTGTGAATAAAAAGACAACGCTCCGCATATACAAATATATGAAGAAGCATAACATAACATTATACAACATAGCATAAATCTATAGAACATAGTATAACTTTATACAACGTGAATATAACCTTATGCAATGTAACATAACTTTATATAGAAAACGTGCGTAATAGGTAAGTAGTATAGTAACATGCAATAAAATCATTTTCGGCGGTTATCTAATGAGACAAATATATTAAAAGTAGGACTCACCAGCTTTTCTCAGTATATCTTGTGCTACAATATCGAGCCGCGAAGTTCCAAACTGCAGTTCTTCGGCGTTGGTTGTTCTGGGGGGTGTATTACGCATTAGAATCTGCTCCATTTTCACAGCACTTTCCAGCATTCCAAGCTTTGATGCGATCTCCAAGCGGTCCAAGGCTGCTGAGAAGTTGTAACTGCCACGAACATGCGTACAGGACGAACATAAATAATCTTCCATCAATCGCTTCAACGTGCTCAGATGGTTTTGAGAAAGGCGCTCACATTTTGCGTGGTGCCACACTCCACAGCCTTCACATAATACAGTGTTGTCATTGCACTGAAGACCGCACGTACCACATGGCCATTTGCGCTTGTTAACACGAGTAGATTTTCTAGCCATATGCATTTTTTACAAAAAGGATTTCAACGAGGATGTTTTGCCGTTTGACAGGTTTGATAGTTCTCCAAAGCAAAGCTTGTTGATATGAGACAATCAGTCTAAGAAACTGTATCGGATTTATATACCCACCGGTTATTATAATGCTAATGAGCGGGTTTTCATCCAGCGATGATGTCATGATCAATGACGTGAATGTCATTAGTAGCTTTGTATCATGCAAATATTCCATAATCCCATGACAAAAGGCGTTTTCAAAAAAAAGGAAACAACGTGTTGTGGGGTGAAATCTTTGAGCTATAGTGATATATTGAGCAACATTTCCCCCTCAATTATTGCCCCATTACTGAAGTCTACATTCGTAAATTTACCGCCATGTGCTATAGATTAGTAATTATGTAACCATCTTCCAATCTACTGCATGAAATTTGAATTAACTAAAATCTAAATATTCAATTTTACTTTAATAACGAATGGAGAAGAAATTATCGGATTCGATCAAGGAAAGTATATAGAGAAAAAACATTGCCATTGCATGGAAGCATGCGATATGGTAACTATACAAAGACAAAGTCATGCAAGCCACTGCAATACATGCATGACCATTTTTACCAAAACAAAGTCATTATACCAAGGAAACGGTGTTTCCGCTAATTACCTTAATTAGTATACATATTTTACATTCCTAACCTAATTTCTAGCATTTTTGAGAAAAATTTGTTTTTCCTGTTTTAAATAAAAATTTAAAAACGAACTTCGGCGGAAAATGCCGGTCAATGGTTGCAAGCAACGTAGCTTTGTTTTGAAAAAACTTTTATACATGTACTAAGCGTTTTAAAACAAGAGCACACTGCCTTACCATACTGTATAATAAATAACGTTATGCTACGGTGTTTACCCGGGCAGTCAGTCTTGGGCAGTCCCGGGCAGTAATTAGTAGGACCCAATAATAAAACTATATGAAATAATATATTAAACATACTTGTGCTTTTAACAATACAAAATAATATATTAAACATTTGAATGCTGTTAAAGATATGTTAGCATTTTAATACATGAATAAGGATTGTAATTACAGAAGAATTACAGCATTGAATGTGATATATCAGTGTATTTATCCTTAACCCATTAAGCTGCAACTGTGTTGCTTTACTTTTCCTAATGCCAGACAATTTTACTCGTCAAGGGGAGAGTCTTGCAAGCTAGCTCTTTATTAACGAGCTTCAGTTGTATAAAATGATATGTTTGTAAAAGCTGGAAGATGTACAAGCACTGAGACAATGCCTCAAATGTTCTCTTTATATATTTTCAGATTAATATTGGAACTGGGTTATAACCTAGCTCCAAATATTGTTCTCAAGTCACAACAATCAGATCTGGATTGAGTTGACAAACTGGTGTTGTAAGGTAAGAATTAACAAGAATAAAGTCTGCTTTTAGTTAAAATGACAAACTGGCCCAGCTAAGGTGGCCACCCAGGCCAGACAAATCAGTCTTGATCTTATAAACAGCCCCTACAAAAATTCAGTAACTAGTAACAACATAATTACACATGAATCCTGTGATTCAAGGCCTGTTAATGTTGTGTAAAGCGGGGTTCGATATGTGTATTGAGCAGGAGAAAATGGACTACAATCGACGTATTTTATCAGTCTTTAATGAAAACATAAAACTACTAAAACATGTGTTCATAATGTTGATAACCATTTTGGCAGGCGAGACGTGCTCGCGATTTCAATGTACATTGCAATGTTTACTTAGTGTAAGAGTCCATGACATCCTCCAGGGGGGGAGGTGTTCAATATATTTCCATTCAGATATTTTCTTTAACACGTTATTGGCTACAGTTCGTTTACTTCTGGTCTCTGGTCTCTGTGGTGCTATGCCTTTCGATTTATGTTCCGTTTTGGACATGATATCTGCTCGCACTTCAAGGGGATATAATTTGGTCTGTTTGTCTGGCCAGTTGAGGTACGATGGGTCTGTTTGTCTGGCCGGTTGAGGTACGTAAGTTTGCTGCTCGGATAAGGCCGTCGTTTCCCATAATAAGATCTTCTATCACAGCAAGTTTCCATTTTATTCTTGGACTATCGTCGTGGATCAAGACTACTTCTCCGACACGGATGGTTTGGTTGTTCCTTCCAGTCGTTTTATGAAACTCTCAAAGAGAAGTAAGGTATTCAGCTTTCCATCATAACCAAAAATGTTGGAGGATAAGTGCTTGTATTTGAGCTCTTCTTGTTATTTCCAAGATGTTTCCAAAGTTCAGATCGTTGATTTCATCATCTTCCACAATCAGGTGGGCAAGGGAGGTGATACGTCGTCCGTACAATATATGAGAGAGTGTGAGGGGTTCTTCGTCTTTGATATCGCTGGATACGTACGTAAGTGGTCGATCATTTAGGCAGGCCATTTTAGTCCAGGCAGGCCATTTTACTGCAGGTAAGGTGAGCCACGATGGTCCATTGTTCCATAACGTTGATGAATGCATCTGGGTCGTAGTGAAACCGCGTGTTAGGAAGTCAGCGGGATTCTCATTTGTTGGGCAGTAGTGCCAGATGTTGGAAGGAAATAAATCTTTGATAGATCTTACACGGTTTGCAACGAATTGTTTGAGTTGTTTATTGCTACTTAGCCAATAATGTAATACGATTTGGCTATCGGACCATAGGTGAACTTCTAGGGCATTCTAACGATTCTTGATTGCGTTGTGAATAAATGAGGCTAGTCGCGCACCAATTAAGGCTGCCATAAGTTCTAATTGAGGCATTGTCAATGTTTTGATGGGAGCAAACACGTGTTTTTGCCATAACAAATGCAACTTGAGAATGTTGTTGAAGGTATGCCACTGCACCGTAGGCTAGTTTACTCGCATCAACAAAAACATGGAGTTGTGGTGTGTTCTGGGAAACTGTGGGCGTTAAATGGTATCAACGTGGTATAATGGTTTGCTAAGCTGCAAACAAATCTACAGCTAATTTGAGCCATTCTTGTTGAAGTTGTTCGTTGAGGGGTTCATCCCAATCGATCGATTGTTGCCACAGTTGTTGCATGAAAATCTTGGCTCTGATTGTTACAGGAGCTATTATCCCAAGGGGATCGAAAATGCTGTAAGAGTGTTGCAGAACTTCGCGTTTAGTGATCAGTTTGTGGCTGTTAGGTATGGATTTCTTGGTTGCAAAATGAATGGTATCAGAGAATGTGTTCCATCGTAGGCCGAGAACACTGATGTCAGTTTCTGGAGTTGTGTTAACTGTTTCATCTTTAGTTGCTTTCTGCTGAAGTGTCGGACTATTTGAGGCCCATGAGCGTAAGTTGAACTTAGCTTCAGTCATAATCGATCTTGATTCGTCATAGTATTGGGAGGCATTTAAAACTCCTTCTCATCAGGTAGTTTCGTATTACATTTCGATTCAATTTTTCTAATATAAATATCTCGGCGAGTATTTACCCCCCTTTTAAATAAATGCCACCATTGAAATCCTCACAATATAACCTTTCGAACGGGGGGTCAAGTGCCGTCAAAACATTACACAAACCGAAACAATCATATATTTATACTCACCGCTTGGCCAAACATTCAAACGAGAAAAAGAGAAAAAGTTGAATAGATTCTAAACTTTGGTGTCATTTTCTGAAAGGATATATGTGTAAAATACTCTTTGTATTCAAGCGCTTTCGTATAGAAAGTTTCGTATGAATACGACGAGTAGAAATATTTATTTTGAATTTTTCAAGGTATCGGGTTTTACTCGCACGCAATTGTATTACGTAATACTTGGCCAATAAGGAGCTCCCTTTAGCCGGGATGACGTCAAACGCACGCGTATGGGTGCACTTTGACCTGTAGAATCCATTTCTGGCATTTCCAGAGTCACGCGATACAAACTTCGCATTGTTTTGACGGTTTTTCGTCGTATTTCCGGTTGGGATTAACGCAAATTCGGGGCAGAAATGCAAAATTCGGCAAGAAAACTCATATTTTAAAGATAGAAGCTTGAAAATAACAGTATACGTGTTATTTTTAACTGCTTCATTCAGCAAGACTACCAGAATGAGCTTGCGTCTCAAGGGGCCGAAGTTATGTTCGGCGAAAGGTATGTCTATGTTTATAATTTGTTAGCAATATTGTGTAATTTGATCAAATACCAAGCTCGCTTGACTTTCAAAGCTCATAAATCGCTAAAATTTAGCCACTGACTAAAACTATCGTTATAAATTAGTGTATATTTTTATACTGAATCGAATGGTAGTATTTTCATCTACATAGCGTGCACTGAACCAAAGATATGAACGAATTACATCCGTAGAACGTGCACGTTCTACGCGTAATGGACCCTGCTGCAAAAGAGTTAATTCGGTATCAGCACCAGACAGAATATTGTCCACATACATGTTGTCCTTCATGTTGCGTGCAACGGGGGTTGAAAATCGCTCAAGGTGTTTTTGAAGGGTGGCATTTAACATGAATGGTGAACTGGTGGTAAGTGTCGAAGGGGCTATCTGGATCATTTGGGTCTGACAACCACAGGAATCTCTATCACATTCATGAAGATGTAAGTGGTGAAAGGCTTTTTAGATATCGGTCGCGAGGCCGTAGTTGTAGGTGCGAAAACAAAGCAGAATAGCCGTCATGTCATTCAGCAAAGGTGGACCTGCTTGGAGACAATCGTTAAGACTTGTTTGGTTTTGTAACTGGCGACAACTGCAGTCATAGACTATTTAGATGGGGGTGGTGGACGAAATCTTCTGTACTGGATGGTACGGGATGTAATGTGAGTTGCTAGTTGGTGTAGAGTCTGGAATCTTCTCAATAAATCATTTTTCTAATTGATCATTGATAATTGTTCCGTAAGTCTGTAACAATTCCGGACTGCGGCTTAATCTTTGTACAGTTGATCTGGTGCGTTTCTGGCAAATAGAAAAGTTCGAAGGCAATGCTGGATGATTGTCTTTCCACGGAAATTTCGCAGTGTAGCTACCATCATCCTCATGAGAAATGGCAGATTGTTGGTACTCACGCGAGAGGCTACTTTCATCATTGTTGGTAGTTGGTCCGGTGATGCCTAAGGACTCGAGGGATCAAAATTTTTCAAGTTGTTGATCTTCTTTGTAGTGGGAAATCATGACATTAAGGATGTTGGTGGGAGATCTGTCACCCGCTGGCAATTTGATGGGCCCAGACAAAATGTATCCTAACTTTGATTGCATTGCTGTGGGACCATTTCCCCGAATGATATGGTCTTCAACGAAATCCCAGTAGTGATCTGCACCTATTAATAGGAAAATCTCAAAGTTCTCGTCACTGGTGACTGGATGGGCGAACTTGAGCTGTCTAAGGTAGGGAAGATCTTTGATAGGGGCTCTAACCTTATTCTGAATTGGGGTGGCAATCTTAGGCACAATAAGAACTTGGATAGGAATACTTCCGGATGATTTCGTTTCAATGTTGATGGTGGCAACATCGAGGTTTCTCTTTGTTGCTGCGCTTGCCCCGAATGCTGAAAGGTTAATAGTTTCTTTCGTGGTGGGGCAAAGACAGAGTTTCGTGGCTAGTGACTGTGCTATAAAGGAGCGTTGAGCACCTTCGTCAAAGAGTAGGTTGGCTTCTGCACGAGTGGTTGCTGAGTTAATGGTGGTTATGGCAGTTTTTAGTAGGGATGTTTGGGTCCCATGTTTCACTTGCTTGGAAGTTGTAGGAGTTGACTGGGTGGGTGTCAATGTAGCAAGAACTGGTGGATCCTTATGTTGCTGATTTTCACCTTTACAAAGACTTGTGTGATGCTTACGATTACAACTCTTACATCTGTTTTTCGAATGACACTGTGAGGCTTTGTGATGTCCGAGACAGTTAAAGCATAGGTTAGCTTTCTTAACAATATCATACCGCTGCTGGGGGTCGGTAACAACTTTGCATGCATTAGACGAGTGACCTTTTTGGCAGTAGGTACACTTAGGGGTCAGTTGCCTGTTACGAGGTGGTGTGGGTGGAGATCGAGATGACCACATGCCTTCTGCATGAGTGTGAAATGATGATGTAACTGATGATGTTGCTTGGTTTTCTCTTGTGCTCGAGTTAGTAAATTGCCCTGCTTCTAGAATTCTCAATTCCTTGCGTATAGTATTTCTAAGCTGGTCAATTGTGCAGTCTAGAGTCCCATGCTCCCGAGCTAAATTTTTTCTGAATTCTGTTGGTAGTTTCCCAAGTACGATTGGAATTAATAGGTCACCGTATGATTCTTGGCTTTTTCCAAGACATGCAAGTCCTCGAATGTGGGTTTCCAAGATGTCATAGAAGCTTCGAAAACTATCCAGATGTTCACTTGGTGGGGGAATTTCTAAGAGAGCTTGCATGTGTGCATTTACGATCTTATGAGGTTGTCCAAATCTATCTTTAAGGAGCTTAATGGCTTGGTCATAGTTACTGTTAGTGAGGGGAAATCCTGCTATTGTTTGTAGTGCTTCTTCCACAAGTTGTGCTTTCAAGTAATTGAATATTTGTATGCCATTTAACGACGGATTGTTGTGTACTGCTGCATCAAATGAATCCCAGAATGACTGCCACTGAAGGGGGTTACCTGCAAACACAGGAAGACTTAGCTTTGGTAGACGACAAATATTTTGTGGTGGAATATTAGCTGGCTGAGGACTAGGTGGTAATGTTAATATATCGTCAGTCGGCAGATTTTGTTGTGTAGGTGGGGGGTCCCCAGGCTCATTTAATACATAATTTGAATTGATTACTTGAGATGGCGATTCTTGAATTTCTTGTGTTGTGGCTTGTGTTTCAAGTGACTGAGTTGAAGTAGATGCCTGACTTCCTTGTGTAAACTGATTTGATTCACTCGACAATGAACATATACTTACGTATGTGATTCAGTTTTTCTTCCAAATCGCAGCTTAGCTGTTCAGATTCGTATATTTCTGTTTCTAGTTGCTTTGGATCAGTGATTTTTGCTGCAATCTTTTTGTCTAGTTCTCGTACTAATTGCTGTTTCCATGTTAGTTGTTCCAGGGTAGTTTTAAGTGTCGTCAGCGCTATTTTGTCTGCTTTCGAAGGTTCTACTTTGAGGATTTCGCTCGCTTTATTTAACACTTTCGATAGATGAGATTTATGCCCTCTTGGAGACGCTTGTAGTCGCGCTATTTCCTCCATCCTGGTCACGGCACCAAATGTTGTGTAAAGCGGGGTTCGATATGTGTATTGAGCAGGAGAAAATGGACTACAATCGACGTATTTAATGAAAACATAAAACAACTAAAACATGTGTTCGTAATGTTGATAACCATTTTGGCGGGCGAGACGCGCCCGCGATTTCAATGTACATTGCAATGTTTACTTAGTGTAAGAGTCCATGACAGCTAACACTGACACTGTGCTCAATTTTGGTACCTGTAACATGTTTACCATGCTTGGACTACCTATTCATACAGGCCGAGCACAGATAAATTTGGTACAGACACCAGTTTTATCTGTGCCGTACCAAAAATTGAGCATAGTACACAACAGGGGCCAGTTGTTCAAAGGTGGGTTAGTGCTAACCCTGGGTTAAATTTAACCTGCTGTTTTAGTTTGTGTATTTCTACAAGTCTGTTTGTTTCAAAACTTAAAAAAAAAACTCCTATCGATCCAGACAAGATATCTGAAGAAATGTTTTCAAATTTATAGACAAGCTGTCAGGAAGTATGTGTATATATTTACTAATAAATACATTTAATATTCTGATCTAGTATTTCTTCATATTAAATTATTACGGCTTCAAGTGAACATGACAGAGGCACAGTTGCAGCAACTTGATGTTGCAGAAGTAAGAGCAAATAGTTTTATGCAAGAAATAAAACTCACTTGGTGGCAGTTATGTGACATATCTGCTTGGTAGATAATATACAGATAATTTTATCTGTAGGGAAACTATACTGTCACACAACTGTGACAGATATGTTATTGGGCCAAATTCCTATATGTTGCAGATATGTGACAGATATCTGTTACATAACTGTGACTAGGGATGCACCAGATTTGAAATTTTCAAATTCGGCCGGAACCGGATTTGGGCAAAAATTCCTGCCGGAATTCCGGCCGGATTTGAGATAAACCGGTAATGGTACAATTGGGGATAAATCAGTATTCAAAATGACTGTTTATGTTTTACTATTTTTAGTTCGTGTCAGTTTAGATTTTTGATTGTGTTTAAACCTTTTTTAAACATCTTTTTGTTATAATATTTGTGGTGTTACTCCGAGTGTATATCCACACCGGGCGAGCTTGAAAAATATGCCCAGCCACGGTGGGATTCGAACCTACGACCTTTGGAATACTAGCCCAATGCTCTTCCAACTGAGCTACGCGGTCAGGACGGTTCGAGTAAGTGATATTTCGGAACAGAATCTAGTTCCTTCGATACCAATGTATTATCACTTACTCGAACCGAAATATCACTTACTCGAACCGTCCTGACCGCGTAGCTCAGTTGGAAGAGCATTGGGCTAGTATTCCAAAGGTTGTAGGTTCGAATCCCACCGTGGCCAGGCATATTTTTCAAGCTCGCCTGGTGTGGATATACACTTAGAGTAACACCACAAATATCATATTCACCTGAGTACACTACACCAACACAGAAAAAATTCATATTACTAGATTACATTGGTATTGAAGGAACTAGATTCTGTTCCGAAATATCACTTACTCGAACCGTCCTGACCGCGTAGCTCAGTTGGAAGACCATTGGGCTAGTATTCCAAAGGTCGTAGGTTCGAATCCCACCGGGACCGGGCATATTTTTCAAGCTCGCCCGGTGTGGATATACACTCAGAGTAACACCACAAATATCATATTCACCTGAGTACACTACACCAACACAGAAAAAAAAATCTTTTTGTTAATAACTTAATATTTTATAATAATATAAATGTTTTTTAAACTTTAAAGCTGCCAAATTGATGGTTTATCCCATTCTTGGTGAATTTCTAAAGGTGAAAACAGAAATTTAAATCCGGCCGGATTTTCTCCAAATCCGGCCGGAAGCCGGATGCCGGAAAATTTGTTAAATCCGGCCGGAATTCCAGCCGGATTTGAAATCCGGTGCACCCCTAACTGTGACAGATATCTGTCACATAACTGTGACAGATATGTTATGGGGCCAAATTCCTATATGTTGCAGATATGTGACAGATACTTTCGTACATATATTTTGCAGATATTTTACAGAACTGTGACATATATCTGCCACATATCTGTCAGTTTGGTAAGGGAAATATCTTTAATAATGAAATTTTATTTTAAAACTACTCTTTGTTTTATCTTTGCTTATAAAGGACACCTAAATTGAATTAGGTATCAACAGTAATAGTTGTGTTGTTTAAATTGATTGTTGAATTAAATGGTAGATTTTATTCATATTTCTCAAATAATATAATTTAACTCTTATTTAAGTGCCAATGGCACCCTAATGTGCCCCTACTTTACTATTTTACTCTGTCGAAACCAACCTGGTATTTTGCAGGTTCATATCTTCGGTTCAGTGCATGCTATATAGATGAAAATAACACCATTCGATTCAGTGAAAAAATTCCTATCAATAGATATAATAAAATGTCAACATTATAGTGATTTACGACCTTAAGAGGGCAAGTATATTATTATACACAATATTCCCGAAAAATGTAAGAAAGTAATAACATGTATCACAAAGTCATTCCAAAACACTATTTAGAGTGTTATTTTCAAGCTTCTATCAACAGATTTGTGTCTTTTATTTCGGATTTCAAAATATTTAAATTTTACCCGAGAGCTTTGACGGCGGTTCGACCGGAAATACACTTTAGATCTGCCAAAACATTGTATTGTTTAAATCCTATCGCTCGGGAAACATCTGAAATCGATTCTAAAGGTCAAATTACACCTGCAACGTGATTTGCACATGCATCGGGTTACAGGTGCTCCTTATTAGCCAATTGTAGTGTGTGGCGAGCATGAAAAAAAGCAGTAAAAACATGGTATTCTGAAAAATTCAAAATAAATATATTTCTACTGGCTGTATTCAAACAAAATTTCACTCAGATTGACTTGTGGGGAATTCCTAGGAGTTCAAGAGATATTCAAGACAGAATATTTGGCAAAGCGGTGAGTAAAATACATGATTGTTTTGGTTTGTGCAATGTTATGACAGGCATTTGACCCCTGTTCGAAAGGTTATTTTATGAGGATTTCAATGGTAGTTTCCGTTTTAAAGGGGGGTAAATACTCTTTGGAGATATTTACATGGGAAGCAATTGAATGAAAAATTTGAAATTTATCGCCAAACGATAAAGAGTTAAATGAGAAAGTATGTAGAAATAGTGCATGAATGGACTCGCTCCGCCATATCTATGTGAGCTATTTAACAAATGTTTGGAACTCCATAACCAGGTCACCAGAAATAGGCAGTTACTGCATATTCCTTTATGCAAAACTTTATCGGGTCAGGAGTTTTCGGTTTAGAGCTGTTAGACTGTGGAATAGCTTGGACAATAAACTGAAAGAACTCCTATTACCAACAAATGAGCAAGCAGTCCATTCTATCTTTCATTGATAAACTAGTGTTTATACAGTAAATAATGATTTTTGAAAAATAATTGATTTCCTCAACATGCATAAGTTATCAATAGTAGTATGTCATCAGTGATGTAATTGGAACATTATCGAATTTGTAGTGTTGTCATGGAAACAGTCTGTTTCTGACAAGTGACATCTTTATTTAAAACACAAGGTCCATTTCACAGGTTATGTTATGTGCTCTTCAATGGAGACGTGTACCTACAGTACTGTCCAGAAATAACCTAACAGTGCGGTCGCGGTTAGGTCGCGGTTAGGTCGCGGTTAGGTCGCGGTTCGGTCGCGGTTCGGTCGCGGTTCGGTTGAGGTTAGGTTGAGGTTAGGTTGAGGTTCGGTCGAGTTTGACCGATTTAAACCGCAAATTATAAATGTTTTACTAATGCCGTAATGGCAAATTGGCAATACCTTGACTGCATGTGCAGAAGTGGCAGGTACATGAGTTTATAAACTGTAACTATAGGTCTTCAAAAGATGTGAGCGGATCTCGGATTGTAAACTCTTCGAAAATGCTGTTTTTGAACTAAAATAAGCCTGTAATTATACCTTTCAATAAACCGGAACATAATTAAGCTCCGTGAAATAAATTAATAAACATAATTGAAAGTCACTACCTCTATATATTACGTATATATTATACTGTAGATATAGATATAGGATTTCCGTGATTTGCAAATCGTAATTAATTAAACTGCTATTAAATGTAGAAAAAATGGCGGAATTATATTCGATATTGTATTCGATATAGGCCTGCGGTAGTAAATCCGGCTAAAGCGCAGTGATTTTAATTCTAGCAATCTGATAATTCCGATTTTACTAATCTCTAGTTTTGTAGCGAAAAGCATATATATACACGCGGTAGTAAATCTATTAAAGAGTAATTAAAGGTCTGCAGTGATTTTGATTCTATACTTTTATACAAGACTATAGTAATCTGGTTCTACTATCAAATACCATGCAATTAGATTACTCATGTAGTTGCCGTGTAGCTGCATGAAGACATTCTATGACTGAGTCATACAGACTACTGGGAAGTAGATCTAAAAGCGCATTGATTTTCATTTTAGCAAGCATTATTAATTGCACCATTCAAATATACACATATATATACATTCAGTCGCGCGCTGCCACTGGATGATTGGAAAACGTTTATGGAAAAACATTGGACCTGATTTATAGTTATATAGACAAACATTACACAAATGTAAACGTTTATTCAAATGAAAAATGCGCGATAATAATGACTAACAGTAACAATGGGTTTGAATATCAGGTATGCTAATGTATAAGTGTCAGAGCTTGAGCATCTGATGAGTCATCGACTTCGCGTTTTCAGCCAATTTATATGTTTCACTAAGCCTCAGTCAAATATGCTTTTAATAAACGAAAATCAGTTTTAATCTTAAGGGCAGAACCTGTTAGGAACATACAGTATATTTATAAATACCAGCCGACTTCCGTGATTTGCCAATCGGTAAACTGCTATTAGAGGCTGAAATAATACATTCGATACTGTATTCGTTACACGGTAATAAATGTAAAGCGTATGCAGTGACTTGACTAGTTTACTAATCAGAAATTTTCGATTCTACTAATCTTTAGTTTAATTTTGTAGCGAAAAACATATACACGCTAACACGCGGTAGTAAATACCATAGTAATCTGGTGCTACCAAGTACCAATTAGATTACTGTAGTTGCTGTGTATAGCGGAAAACATTCTATAGATATACGATAATGAGCCATACGACTATTCGGTAGTAAATCTAAAGACGCATTGATTTTGATATTAGAAAGCCGATTGTTAATTCCACATTTCAAATATATTACACTCAGTCGCGTGCTGCCACAGGATGATTATAATTATATGGCATAAGTAGTTCAAATGTCGAAAAAAAGCATGCATTTTATTAAAATACTCAGTATCATAACGGTAATACCCATCTACGACTCTTAATTTTATCCATCTATGTTTATGTCCCATGTAACCGCACAACTCATTATATGAACTTATTAACAGTATATCATACCTTTTTCCAAGATCCAAACACGCGATCTGCAGTGGACCGATTTCGTTGACGAACAAGGTTATATAGGCTACTCACTACATTATAATCGCTACAAATTCGTAAATGCGCCTCATTGACCATATGATTAGTTAAGGTTTATGAATTATGATCGTTTCATATCCGCCAAATTGCACTCTCGTCGTTTGGTCACGATGCTCAAGCTTGGTTGTTACATATCCATTTTGAAAGCATCGAATTTTCAAAGTTTGACATACTCTCGCTAATAGTTTATGGAAAAACCTTGGACAAAAGGTTCTCTCCCGATTTATAGTCATATAGAGAAACATTACACAAACATAAACGTTTATTCATAATAATGACTAACCGTAACAATGGGTTTGAATATCAGACATGGTAATTTTCAGTGCCAGAATCTAAGTATCTGATGAGTCATCGACATCGCGTTTTCAGCCAATTTATGTTTCACTCAGTCTCAGCCAAATATGTTTTTATAAAACGAAAACGAGTTTAAAGGTAATTGAGTTGCACGTTGAAACACAAAATAATAATGACTTTATATGTGTAATTGAAAAGTTTTCATCAATAAAAATTACCTTTTACTGTTGCTACTACCAAAATAAATTTTCATTGACATTTACAAACAGTATTGTAATGTGCGGCCAATATTATATACTGCTGCATATATGCTAAATAAAAACGGCCACACTTTTCTTAATAATATCGCAGTATTTCTTTTTCTCAAATTTTTGTCGACTCTGTTTTCCAAAGCCATTGCTACGGGTTGCGTTAATGACTGTTTGGGAATTTCCGCCGACAGGCACGACACGCCTCTTACACTCATCGCTTTTCAAAACAGCAAAATAGTGGGCAAAAGCAGTCAATACAATATGTCTATACATTCATTATAAACGTCGGGAATATTTCGAATATACAAGAACTGTTGCACGAGGTATTTCACTCGTGAATAGCAAATCGTATACTCTTGCTACAGTGACAAGCAAATGAAGGATCTGTCGAATTCAATGGTTTGGACTATGACGGCTCTATAGTTTTGAAGCTCCATGGTAAGTGCTGTTGTTGTAGCTGCTAATCTCAAAACTTTCATGGCTTCCCCTTCTAAATATACAGGTTAATTAATAACTCTCTCTCTCTCGAGCATACGCGGACAATTTCGAGTCGCCATTTTAAAACGCAAATTTGCCTCGAAATTTGTAATCGTATGATAACTTCGGAAAATTAAAATTGAAAGACGCTTAGATGCGAAAATGGGAAGCGATAGTTAATTTCCGATTACGGCACGGTTTGACTGAGGTCTAACCTAGGTTTGACCGGGGTCTAACCTAGGTTTGACCGAGGTTAACCGCGGTTTTTGTTAGGTTATTTCTGGACAGTACTGTATACTAGTGGACTAATCACTAATAAAAAGGTATCAAACTATTTACAAAAGTAACAAACTATACATGCAAAGAAACTAATATAAAAGAAATATTAAGATATTTTAGATTTAAACTCAGTGAAAGATTGAATGAACTCTAGTGAGTTCGACAGGTATGTCATTCCATAGGGTAGCTCCCTCAATAGGAAAAACTTTTCTTCAAGGATTCCGTTAAGGGTCTTGGTACAAAAAGTTTATGATTAGATCCACGCAAACTATGTTCGTGTATCATTGACGTGGAAGTAAATTTTCCAGACAAGTAACTAGGAACCATATTATTAACAGTTTTGTACATAAAAGTTTTGAACTGTTGGGTACGTCTGGTTTCAAAGGTTGGTCCAATTCAATGATGTTAAAATATCTGATGACCGGATGTTATAATCAGGCTATCCCAGACAATACTACAATAATCAAAGTATGGCTGTGCTAAAGAGTCATAGATCATGACAAGAGTTTACTGTGGGAGGAATGGTTTTAGTCTTCGTAGAACTCCAATCACCTTGGAGACTTTGGAGATTATAGTAGAAACATGATGCTCCCATGTCAAACTCTCGTCCAGTTTTAAACCTAAACACTTATAAGATCTAACTCTTTCAATTTTGTTTCCGGAAATAGCAATATTAGTTTCTTCAGGAATAGTACTTTATTTTTGCCTGGATGCCATAAACATACAGTTTTAATCGCGTTCAGGCTTAGTTTATTAATGGTTAAGCCAGTTTTCGAGAGTTTTAAGGTCGTCATTTAGAACAGAAATCATCTTGACAGGGTTGCTATCCGCAAAAGTTGGTATCATCAGCAAATAAACGCCCCTCTGATACCAATTCACTATTAGGTAGGTCGTTTATATATATTAAAAACAGTAGTGGACCTAAGATAGACCCCTGAGGAACTCCACATGTTACTTTACGAGTATCAGATCGTATGTTGTTAATAACTGTTATTTGAGTACGATCAGAAAGATAGTTTCTAAAAAGATCAATCGTTTCTTTGTTGAAACCGTAACAAGTTAACTTCTGTAGTAAAATCTTATGATCAATGGTATCAAAAGCCTTTTTTAAATCAATGAATAAGACAGCATTTATTAACCCACTGTCCCTGTTAGTGTACCATTTATCAGTGACATCAAGCATAGCAGTTAACGTTGAGTGAAGAAGTCTAAATCCTTACTGTATGTCAGATAAAAGGTTGTTTTTGTTTAAAAAGGCATATGCTTGGTCAAAGACAACTACTGGAAGGAAAAGACAACTACTGGAAATAGGCCTATAATTATTCAAATCTAGTTTTGAATCATGTTTATAAATTGCTGATACCCTGGCACACTTCCAGTCAGCAGGAATAATTCCCTTGTGAATTACTAGATTAATAATGTGAGTAAGTGAAACCACAGTAGTGAAATTAATTAGTTTTAATAAACGAACTGGAATATTATCAAGACTGCTAGCCTTAGAAGTCGATAATTTATAAATTAGTCCATCTATTTGAGATGGAGTAACTTCATGTAATTCAAAAACTTCATTACATTGCGGAATGTTATAAGAGGCCGCACCAGTTGTTGGAATTTGCGCTGCTAATTTAGGTCCGATTTCAGTGAAGTGCTTATTAAAAACATTGCTAATAGTTACTGGATCAGTAATTTCGATTTCATCTTGCAAGATTTTTTGCATAGTAGTTAAATTTTTAGATTTAGAAAGAAGACTGTTGATACCATTCCAAGTTTCTTTAGTTTGACCTACGTTGAGTTGAAACAAAGAATTATAATATTGCTTTTTCCTATCTCTAATTTTATAGTTAACTAGATTTTTAGCTGTTTTAAAATTGACCCAATCATTTTCATCATTAGTATAAAACTGCTTTACGCTTTAATCAATCTCGTTCCCACATTAATTTCTTGATTTCTACAGAGAGCCATGGGGCACAATTTTTCCTCATTCTTCTTTGTTGGACTGGAGCTTGCTTATCAGCAACATCAAGAAATAGTTTTTCCAAATTTGCCAAGCATTTATAGGATCATCTAAGGAAACTATGTACTGCCAAGGAATAGCATCAATGTCATGCTTGAATGAAGTTTCATCAAAATTTTTATAACTGCGGGATTTGATAGTTATAGGTTTAGATTTAACACCAGAGTGTTTTCTGATAGCATAAATTAAGTTATGGTCGCTGATACCTAGAACTATAACTCCCGCAGAAGTAAAGTTGTTCGGTTCATTAGTAAGAAAGAAATCGATTAACGTCGATGAGCTATTTGTAACTCTAGTTGACTCCTTAATAAGTTGAGTATATTGATATGACTCACTTAGTTCAAGTAAATGTTTAGTATTATTATGTGCAATAGATGCACTCATGTTACAATTTAAATCACAAATGATATTATTTTCAATACCAAGGAACTCAATTTTATCTAAAATTACCTGAAGTTTGTCAAAGAGATCCTTGCAAGAATTAGGAGGTCTGTACCACGTTGATATTAGAAATAGTTTAACTTTAGGTTTACTGATCTCAACGCACAGAAACTCAAGGGCTTCATCATGAAGATAATTTCTGAGATTAAAATGAATTGAATTTCGGATATACATAGCTACACCGCCTCTGTGTCGTGTTCGATCGTTCCTAACAAACGTATATTTATCAATTGATATTTCAGAATTACTAATAGTTTCATCAAGACGAGTTTTGTTTAAGACCAGTATATCTAAATATTGATGTTGCATGTTTATTCTTAATTCATTGATATGCTTGGGTAAACTTGCAATGTTTAGAAAAGCAATTTTAAAGCCTCTGTGTTTAGGTAAGTTGAAATCAGTTTGTTTGTGCGTATTAGAATCGCTTTTACTTTACTAGTTTTGATTAGTAGATTTGACTTGTCCGTTTGAGGTAAAATTTCTGATATAGTAATGCTTGTTTGAGGGGAGTCCTGATTGATCTGGATTCCCAAGTTGATAATTCCCTGTGCTATTTGATCTGGTGAGGCACTTTTATTTAGATTGTTTGTTCCAACATGGAGTGTTTAGGATTGGGTTTACAATAATGAAACTATCAACATATATTTCAATAAGTTAATTTTAAGTATAAAATTTTCAGCAAAGATATGCAAAATGTTGCAATTAAAATGTATATAAAAATGATGTCACATGGTTACCATAACTGAACAGTGTTGTGTTTTGTGCAGTTGAGCATGCAATGCTATCCAACACACACTTAGTTTTTAAAAATTAATGTTTTGTGATTAAAAATATGTATTAACTCATTCTCATCCGGTCATATTACATATTTCGACTTTGGAGAGGAGAACATTTAAAATATATTGGCAAGTATTTACCCCCCCCCCCCTTTAAAACGAAAACCACCGTTGAAATCCTCATAAAATAACCTTTTGAACGGGGGTTAATTGCAGTCATAACATTACACACAAAACCAAAACATATCGTATATTTACTCACCTCTTGGCCAAACATTTTGTAGTTCAAATCGAGAAAAACTTGAATATCTTCTAAACTCTTCAGCAATCGCCTAAGTCAATACAGTGAAATATTCCTTGTATCCAAGCGCTTTTATGTAGAAAGTTTCGTTTGAATACGACAAGTAGAAATACTTATTTCGAATTTTTCAAAATATCGGGTTTTTACTTGCACACACGTGTCACACGCCAAAATTGGCCAATAAGGAGCACCCGTAGCCCCATGCACGTGAAAATCACGCCACAGGGGTACTTTGACCTTTAGAATCGATTTCCAACGTTTCCCGAGTGATGGGATGTAAACATCGCATTGTTTAGGATATTTGAACTCGAACTTCCGGTCAAAGCTCTCGCGTAAAATTTAGATATTTTGAAATACTGAAAAACATGCAAATCAGCAGATACAAGCTTGAAAATAACACTCTAAATAGCGTGTTGGATTGTGTTTCGAACAAGACTAATACCAAAAAGATATGTTGAAAGGGGCTGAAGTTATATTCAGTGAAAGGGGCTGAAGTTATATTCAGCGAAAGGTGTGGCTTAGTGATGCATTGCTTACATTCTTCCAGTATATTGTATATAGTATGGTATGGTTAGTTTACATTGTTCGAGTATGCCTAGTTTATAATTTGTGGCTATTTTACATTGTTCGATTTCATAGAACTTTTCAAGCAGATTTTTTTTGTGGCACTTTCGTATTTCTACCGCAAATGCTCGTGCAGTTCTGTAATATTTAAACTTCCTGTTATATATGTCGGAAATCAAGTAATATGGAGCCATATGAGTTAAGTGCATATTGTTTATAGCTATTACATCGTTATGACATCTTCATATTTCCATGGTAACACAGTTTTGTAACATTTTATTTATATAACATGTCATACAACACTTTTGTAATGGTTTTTAAGTAATAAATTATCTAATTTCAGTTTCTGTGTGTTTTCTTTGTCATTTCATGATGCCATACGGTTTCCATGGCAACAACAGATGAGCTATATACAGATATGAATCTCCTGTCAAATTGCTGATTGTTTTGTGTCACACAGAATTCACACTTCCGGCGAGCGCTGGCAAGTGTCGTTCTGAAATTTAATAATTTAGCAAAAGTTTGTTTTTCCCTATCTTCTCCTTATTAAAAACGTGAAATACACTTGCTGGGAATTTCAGATGCTCATGTATAAATAACAAAGCAGCAAGTGATATAAATTTCTCAAAATATAATTCTCATACGAAAAAACATGAATACTTCTATAATATGTATATCTCCTCTGTGGCAATGATAAATGTCCAACTGTTACACTATGTTGTTGCTTTGTATGTCACCAATGTACTCTGAAAATATTGTGGTGATTGGATGAAATGTCTAGAATTTATGACCTTATATGTTCAGAAATCCACTTAAAACCAAGCATTTTGGTACCACATTTCACATCCACCTGTAATACATTTATACAGTGTCGCTCTTCCACAAATTGGACTAAAATTCCAATATTCAAATTGCCGTAACTTTTGATTGCCTTGACTGATTTTGATGAAACAAACACCATTATGTTTTAAATACTACTTGCGGAGCCCCCTTGTAAATTTGAAATTTTTCCTGCTATCCCTAACTATACTACCGGGTGTCCCAAAAAAAGTTACTCCGGTTTGATTCGTAATAACTTCTAAACAAGTAAAGCTTTTAAAGAGAAATAGAGGCATCACATAGAGGAAGGACTAACTTAGATTTTGATATATTACAGTTGTATTTCACTTAAAAATTCATGGAGATATTAATGTTTAAAATCGGGAGCATATTTCTGGATGTGTCTGAAATATGCAAAAAACGGCATATCAAATATTAATCAAGATTTGCCGGATTGAAACATGTACTATTACCAGTAAATAAATGACACTTGACAAATTGTTTATTATGAAACAAAGTATTATTATCTACAAAATACAAGCAAGATTTATTCGTCCGAAATCCATGTGTGTTCCTAGCACGAATAAGGAAACGTCCTTATTTCATGAGACCACTGCATCGCGAAGGATCGTCATGGATATCATTCGTAGTTCTGAATTAGGGCATGCTGTCACAATGGAATTGCGAAGCTCTTCTAACTTCTGCAAAGTTCTGAAATCTTGTTAAGAACACTCAAACTCTTTTGCCTTTTTTTAAACTTGTTAAGTTCAGAATAAACTGAGAATGAAACACAATCAAACCATACAACTCCATAAGACATAACAAGCAACTCACCAGAGACATCCAACATTTTTGGAACAAAACGTAACAAAATAGTAGCGTTGATACTGTGATGTGTATTTGCAAAAAGCAATATTATTTCCTTCATTAAAGAATAATGTTCATCCTGCTCTAATCGAGAAATAATCAACTCTGTTTTGAACCCATGAAAACACACAAAAAAATTAGGTTATTTAAGAAAAATTTAAGCGGCCTGCCTTGCATGGTCTTTCATGTACCTTTAAGTTTGTAAAGACCTATTAAATACTTACATAATTTGGAACGTTCGTATTTCAGGAAACAATGAGCTAAGACTTACATGCATGTTAAGAAGTCTAAATCTACGCCATATCGCTTACAAACCCTAATGAGAATTCGCTGAAATTCAAGTTAGCCTGATATGTCATTAAGCAAACAAATGCTGGAGTTAATATTTGATATGCCAATTTTCGCTAATTTTAGACACATCCCAAAATATGCTCCCGATTTTGAACATTAATATCTCTGTGAATTTTTAAGTAAACTACAACTGTAATATATCAAAATCGAAGTTAGTCCTTCCTCTATTTAATGCAAGTTATTTCTGTTTGATAGCTTTACTTGTTTAGAAGTTATTATAAATCAAACCGAGTACTTTTTTGGGGGACACCCGGTAGTTAACGCTTGGGTTGCCTGCGGCCCCCCTTACCCTTTCATCAAAATTCATAAAACATGTTCTTATAACTAAAAAGCGATTGCTTTCAGGAAAGTAATGCTTTGCAACCATTTTTTAGATACTTTGACCTAGGTTGGAGTGCTTTTCGAATTTTTCAAAAATACACTGTGGTCCACCCTTAGTTTAAAGGTGCTCTACAGTCCGTATGTAAACAAAGCCTTTGTTTACATTTTTGTGTCCAAAATATAGAGCTTTATTCAACAACTATTTATATTTTCAAGCTTCTAGAGTATAATAAATTATCAAGATACAATAATCAGGCTTTTCAAGAACCCAAAACATAGTTAAACTGTTTGTATCATAAAAAGTGGGCTCCTTTGTGCACATGCGCAGATCGGACTGTAGATCACCTTTAAATGAGCTTTATTAGCATGACCTAAAAATTACAGGTAGTGCTAAAGCATTTTTGTATCTGCGAAGCAGATATATTGCTATCACAAACGCACCGTACCATATCCCTAGCCATTCAGCGACGGGCTTATATAATTCAGCCAATTTATGACAATTTAAGCCAATCAGCGATCAGTTTACATCAATTGTTTACATCGCGCCCACATCTAACTCTGCAAACGGGCATATTTTAGCCTCGTCAGGCCTCGTGTATAAATCGTGTTTATATTCTTTCAAAAATATCTTGATATTTTTATCAATTTATCTTGAATTGGCTGAAGAGTTTTCTCTACTTGCAATATTATTCCGAAGTTATTTATCAACATGGAATCTTATCCTCATCTGGTAAGTAGTCAAATACCATATATTATAGATTTAAATACCAAATTTGTGCAAATATATATCCCACATATTTAATACATGAGTTTGGCGAATTACTATACTATCTATAGTTAATATTGCCGTATCTTCGGCGTAGACACTGTGTACATGTACTCTGGAATTTTTTTATTAATATATTACACTGTATAAAATATTGGATATTTTCGAGGATATTTTAAGCCATTTGTCAACATAGTTCACAAAAAGATTTATACAGTAAAACAATCCTTCTGTGACTTCTCTAATATTTTAAACAGTCAAAACATAGCAGGCAATATTGCCAATGAACAATACCAAAGGAAACTAATGGTCTCGGGAGATATTGAATTAAATCCTGGTCGTGTAGTTCTGTATAAACCTGTTCAAAACAACAGTCCAACTAAGCTGTCATCAAATGTAGTGTTGGAGGTTAAAGATGTTATCAGTTTACAATATTTAATACATTTTGGTTTTACACATTTAATAGAGTTTTTAAACAAAATTTTTACAAACATTTTCAAATGCTAATATAAAAGAATCCCCACCCTCCCTCCTTTAATATTACATTGTTATTTTGCTTTCTAACATAAATGTTTTTGTCTAGAGATTAATGCAAGAATGATGAATAAATGTACTGGATATTGGCTAGATAATTTTGTCAGAACAACCCACTTGCAAGACAATCTTACCTAAATTCATAAGTATCAATGGTATGGATACTGTAATAACTTAACAGCTACAATAATCATATATTATATGGATGGTCAGATCAATGGCACACAATATGTACAAAACTGAACTTGTGATACCTTCTACTCAAACCGATATTCTCCCACAACACAAATTGTTTTTGTGTGGATATGTTGTGTTAAACCGAACAGTGTGGTATATCATTAACTGTGCACAGGATTGGAATTTAATTATATACTTCATTCATGACCTTTAAAACATTCTCTACTATTCAGTGGTCTTCGATATATGATGGACTCTTTGCTACAGTATTAATGCATGTTCCTTGAATAGTTTGTGTATGTTACTCAACAGTTAACGTTGACAAGTGTGAACAACAAGTGACAGAACTTTTGCTTCATATGATTACAATAAAGTTTTCAAAATGGGTATGGATTGACAAGTGGCAGTTTACTAAATAGACACTGTGAATATTGTTTGCATGAAATTTTTATTTTTTGACTCCATAATTATCCGAGTTACAATCATAATCACATAAAATTAGTTAAATTTTTGCGGGGGGGAGTTGCCCCTGCTGCCCTCTGTGCTGTCTACAGCCTTGTTAGATTTGTACTATGTTTGACTTTAAAATCTTATATCCTATTATATTTATTATAATAAGTGATGAAAATGTGAATCAAGTTTTTTCGCAGATATATATACGCGTCGCGTACCTATTTTTTGACATGTAAAGTCAGACGAGGGATAAATTCCGCTTTAGATGGAATAATTATATGTCTTCCCAAAGAAAAGCGATGTCCAACAAACTCATACCCAAGCCTTTTTTCGTTCGCATTTCTTAGGCGAAAAACATAATGGCTTAATGAATGATTGTGATATAGTCATAATTGACTAAACCAATCCAGCAGAACCAACTAATAGGGAAATGTATTGGATTAATAGACTGAAGACAATGCACCCCTCGGGATTGAACATTGAACAGGAATCTGAAGTGTATGAATAACTATGCTTATTAGAGTTCAGTTTGGTAGGGTATAGAAGTAGGGGCTTGTACAATTTAGTTTATTTTGATGAAGATAATCAAGTCAAAACGTTGAAAATGTTTTAGTGATTAACTAATTACCCCTTATGCTGAAAATGGCACTTTACAGACACTAGAATTTTAAAAAAATCCAGAGGGAGCGTACTCCCAGACACTGAAAGTTTATTGTACTGGTAGAATTGCTTCTGGAGCTGCATAGGCGCTATGTGCAACATTAAGGCTCTATGTGCAAGTGTATCGTGTAATTTTCCAGGCGGTGGTGAATTTTCGATTTCCATTGGAAGTGATAATGTGCAAGTGGTACGAGATTTGTGCAAAACAGTAACTACACTAGGTGCTCTTTACGTTGGTTATAAATTAGTAAAACCATTAATCGAGAGTGCAGTTAAAAAAAGTCTTGGTGATGAACGAGATGACACAGAAGTTCGAGGTATCCGACCAGGATCATTGCATGTTCTGTTACATTGTTTTACAGATGAGCGATTTCTTGAAGTTTTAGCGGATTATGAATCTGGAAGTATGAGAGAATGCTTTCAGAAGGAATTCGTACAGGTTGGAATTAAAGTAGAAGGACTGAAAGTGGAAATTGAAAACATGGCAGAGGTAAACGAAACAAAGGAAACCATAAACAAAAGGTATTGTAGATGTTGAATTTATGAAAAATATAACTCGTGCGGTTTATGAAAAATAAGACTTCTGCGATCCTCGGGAAGGAACGTGAGGCTCTGGGATAATCTGTTTCAGGGAGAAATCTGATTTGCCGTTGAACTGGAATGCGTAGTTCAATCTTAGCCAGGATTCCTGGCTTCCGGTAACTGATTATCCCAGAGCCTCGCGTTCCTTTCCGAGGATCGCAGGCTCGGGGAACGAGATTGGACTTCGCCCGCAGATTTTATCGTATTAGTAAATATCCTCGTTCCCAGACCCGCATTATATTACGTGAATGGGCCTATGCAATTTTTCTCGATGTGGTAAATGAATGCTTGTTACGAAAATGCAGTGTAAAAATAGTAATGCATTTCCTATACGGGGAATAGGAACAGGAAAAAGATTTGCATTGCAAAAAAAGTGTTATTCAGTAATAACTGTTATTAGTATTTTTACACAAGTGAATATAACAAACCCTACAAGTTGATTGGTCAACTTTGACGTATTAAGCTGTTATATTGGGGGGCAATTATTCGTGCTTCGTGATTAATATGCGTGCCGTGAATGGTGAAGACCTAAAATGCCAGCTAGGGTCTTGAATTTACCAATATTTTACCCTAACTTGTGAATGTTTACGTTTAGGTAAATAAATGAATAAATTTGCCTCCCGTGGTTGACTTCCTTGAGTTCTCTCCGGCTCCGCTTCATCGTAAACGTCGGTGTCGTATACCTTCGTACCTCTTCGTAGACTTCGTAAACCGTCGTATAATGCTCTCGTAACGTTTCGTAATACCTCGCAATGATTTTCATAGTCGTTTAAAATCTCTAATGTTAAATTAGTAAAATATGTTTGTGTTAACATCGAGTTCTGCTGTCTAGAAAATCGTTAAATATGGTCAGACTGTGTTGCGCTTCTGTGGTTTTAAAAATCGTGTAAATGACATTTTGTTTTTCGTCGCCCCTGAAATCTAAAAATAATCCTCGTTATTTCGTGTCGATACTCCCCCCCCCCTGCCCTCTCCCTCTACAGGGTGTCCCAAAAAAACCCGAAAAATATTGAAATCACCATTCACATTTTAACAATGGTGATTTCAATAGTTTTCTTTTTTTGAGACACCCAAATATATGGGTGAATATATAACAAAAGGCAAATATATAACAAAACCGACATTTGCAAAGTGGCGGCTAGCCGTTTTGTGGAAGTTACTGATAAAGAAATAAGCGAAATTAAATTCAAAAGCAAAAGACGTGTGTAAAATTACTAAAACAATTATTCGCCTCTGCAGGCTCGGTGATTATCGGGGAATATTCACCGAGACGAAATCGAGGTGAATATTCCCCGATAATCACATCGCCTTCGGCGAATAATTGTTAAATATTGTTTCAATGCGGATCTCTATATAAGAAGGATGTTTGTGAGGACATGAAGAATATTGTAATAAATGATGCGAAGAATGACATGGAGAAAAATTTGCAGGTAAACAAATGTATGATATATGCAAATAAACATGCAACAGTAAATTATAATAAGAAAAATAAAATGCTGCTTTTCAAAAGGCCGTGTGCTTACGCTGAAATTAGGCTACATTAATTAATATCAATACGGTACACGACAATACATGACACGCCTAATACATTTAATACGCTATAAACCCGCTATATCAATTCATTGAATTGGTTTAATTTTTCTTTAATTATTTCTTCAAAATACTTTGTGAGTTCCGGTTTTTGGCGGCGGCATAACTAAACGATTATTTCGTTGCATCGGTTTTTAGTTAAGCTAACCTCAGCATTAACTTGTTACTTCTTAAATTATGGTTATCATTGTAGGAAAACTGAAACATTTCAGTTATTCTTTCCGGGCAATTTTTATTAACATAAGAAATAGTTTGAGACTGAATTAGTTCGCCTTTCTTCGAGATTATTCCAGCCTAGCTAATTAACAGATCTTACGATCTTGATCTTATGTCGTATGTATCTCCCGTTATAACTCTTGCCACTCTATTTTGAAGCCGATGACTTTTGTTTTTAGTCTTTGGCTACAATTATTCGAAAAAAGGGAACACTAAACCATGAAGTCCATGAATTGGTTTCCTTTCCAACGAATCTGTAGGTTTCCTAAGTTAGCATGTTTATTAAGAAGAAAAACTTAAAATGTAAAGGAAAGCAAATTAATTTGAAGACAGACTTACTCTGTTAATTAAAAACAGTTTTGTAATATCGGCAAATGTAGTCTTTAATTGAATGAACATACCAAAATATTTTACCAAGCATTTCAAGTTAAATTTTACATTAAAGCAGCTCACAAAATGCAAAATAAAATACCTGCATATATATTTCTGAAAATCATTCTTGTACCAACCTTTAAATAGTACCAACCTTTAAATTATTTTTGTCATTATATACAAAAAATATAAAAATAATAAAAATTTTACATATTGTGTTGTCAAGGTAACACACGAGGCACAACGCGAGCCTGCGTTCAATGTTGGCCATTTCCGAAAACTTCATGTTAAATCAATGTTTGGAAAATATAGGCGAGGGGGTTGCTGCATGCATGCATTTCTAGTTATAATTTCAGCGCGGCCCGTGAAACGGAAATACAACTTGAATCATCAAATCAAAGTTCTCCTAGTTGCATGCTTTGCACGTTTAGCGGGTTATTTGTTTTTCTTTATATGGCCAAGCATGCACATGGCGCGAGCGTTCAAGTAAAAACCCGATATTTTGAAAAATTTTACCTTTACTCCTATTGACTTGCGGCGAATAACGAAAAGTTTAGAAGATATACAAGTTTTTTCTTTATATAAAATACAGAATGTTTGGCCAAGCGGTGAGAAAATATATGATTGTTTGGTTTGTGTAATGTTTTGACGGCATTTGATCCCCACTTGTCAAGATTTCAATGGTGTTTTTCGTTTTAAGAGGGGGGGAGGATGTAATTAAATGCACACTGAGATATTTACAATGAGAAGGTCAATTTAATTGCTAATTTCCCGACTAGTCATGTTATTAGTTTGTAATATTATGATCACCGAGCTGTGACTGAGGTATCGGGCGAGGTGTGTTGGTCTGTTTTGAATGCTGTTTGATTGTCTTTTGATTGTGGGATGCCACAATTGAAATGTTCAGGATTGCGGAATAAAAACTGGCAAAGTGATTGTTCGAATGCGTACGAGACGGTGTCGTCAGACACTGTCCATAGTTGCGCCGATGATTTTCGATAAGGTACAGCTCTCCAATGAGAGGTAATGAGGTACGCTTACAAAAGCGTATGCATGGGTAATGAGGGAAATACGGGATTTACATTCCCTCTCAGAACAATGAAAATCGATGTGATCATGTTATTACCAAACATTATTTCAACCAGACCTAGGTTCGTACAAAACTTGAAATTCCTTGAAAGTCCTTGCATTTGGAAACACAAATTCAAGGCCTTGGTAGTCCTTGAATGCATACAGAAGTGATTGAAAGTCCTCAAATGGCTCTTGCTTTTTAGTAGATATTTTATGAACTTGTTTGTCATTAAGAATTGAACATTTTGTAAACTGATTTTGTTAATGTCTTACAGAGGCCAAGGCTTTTGTAATTCATTAAAGTTGCCGTAAATATGTATACTCTAGTTAGTGTGCCTAGAGTATACTTATAGTATAAACCATACGTCCGAATACGTGCAATATTTGTAAGCATGATTTAAAAACGTTTCTTCCTAGCAGTTTGCCAGCGTATTCCAGCACATGTAACCGTGCTTGAAACGTGTACAACCTATGCCTAACGTATAAGTGATATTTTTCATACGCTGGCATATAATTTTATAGATGCTACTTTCCTGTGTGATTTTTCGATGATTATTTTGTAAAAAAAATTTAACAGCAACTGATTATTTACTGTTGTAAATTGTAAACTTGTGAAACTCGTTGAAGTTTTTGAATAAATAAATATTTGCATGGTGATGACTGATGAAGTGCACCTGTTTAAAGTTTCTACATCTTTGCACAAGTTATAACTGTATGTGACATTGTGTTTACAACACGGAAACAACTATGTTCTTGAATAAATTAAAGAAATTTAAATTTTCACCTGATACCACTCACTTAGCTTATAAATTTATTCTGATCAACCCGAAATAGCATTTTCAGGCAAATAAAATGCTTTCACAAAATAACCTAACTTATCGACCTTGCTACATTCTGTTATTAGAGTAAAAGAGAAGCGAAAACGAAAAACAAGTATTCAGAATTGGAATCGAAACAAAAGGCACTTGAAACAAGTTTGGACATGTACGGGGAAGACTGTACTGACAATGTTGAAATTTTGGAAAGGTTGAATAACATTGGAGTCACGCAACGTGGGATGAAAGATTGCAAGTCAGCTTTAGTGTCGTATGAACATGCTCTTCAAATCAGATCGAAATTGCTTGGGGAAAACGATTCTGACACTGCTGACAGTTATAGCAGCATTGGGATCACACAATACCAGATGAACGATTACAAATCAGCATTAGCATCACATCAACATGCTCTTTACATTAGATTAAAACTGTTTGGAGAAGACCATTCCGACACTGCTGAAGTTATAACAACATTGGAGTTATACAACATGATATTAAAGATTTCAAATCAGCGTTAGAGACAAAGCAAAAGGTTCTAAAAATCAGATTCAACTTGTACGGAGAAGACCATTCTGAGACAGCTAAATCTTTTGTCAGCATTGGAATCACACAACAAGTGACGCGAGACTTCAAGTCAGCATTAGAATCGAAACAAAAAGCTCTGCAAATCAGATTAAAAGTGTTTGGGGAAAACCATCCTGACACTGCTGAAAGCTATAGCAGCATTGGAATCACACAATACCAGATAAAGAATTACAAGACAGCGTTAGCTTCACATCAACATGCTCTTCACATCAGATTAAAACTGTTTGGAGAAGACCATTCTGACACTGCTGACAGTTATAACAAAATTGGAGTTATACAACACGATATTAAAGATTTCAAATCAGCATTAGAGACAAAGCAAAAGGTTCTAAAAATTAGATTACGTTTGTACGGAGAAGACCATTCTGAGACAGCTAAATCTTATGTCAGCATTGGAATCACACAACAAGTGATGAGAGAATACAAGTTAGCTTTAGAATCGAAACAAAAAGCTCTGCAAATCAGATTAAAAGTGCTTGGAGAAGATCATTCTGACACTGCTCGAAGTTATTACAACACTGGAGTCACACAATACGAGATGAAAGAATATGAGACAGCATTGGAGTCACTTCGACATGCTCTTCAAATCAGATCAAAGCTGCTTGGAAGAGACCATCCTGACACAGCTCGAAGTTATGAAAGCATCGGATTTACACAAGATAAAATGAAAGATTACAAGTCAGCACTAGATTCGAAACAAAAAGCTCTTCAAATTAGAAAAAAACTTTTTGCAGAAGACCATCCTGACACTGCTGAAAGTTATAACAACATTGGAGTCACACAACACGAAATGAAAGATTACAAATCAGCATTAACGTCACATCAACATGCTCTTCAAATCAGGTTAAAATTGTTTCGAGAAAACCATCCTGAAACGGCTGAAAGTTATAACAACATTGGAGTTACACAATACGAAATGAAAGATTACAAGTCAGCATTAGCGTCACATCAAAATGCTCTTCATATCAGATTAAAATTGTACGGAGAAGACCATTGTGACACGGCTAAATCTTTTGACAGTATCGGAATCACACAACAAGCTATTGGAGACTACAGGTCAGCATTACGATCGAAACAGAAAGCTCTACAAATCAGATTAAATCTGTTTGGAGAAGATCATTCCGACACAGCACAAAGTTATGACGGAATCGGAATAACACAAGGTAAAATGGATAATTACAAATCTGCATTAGACTCAGATAAAAAAGCTCTTCAAATCCGATTAAAAGTTTTTGGAAAAGACCATCCTGACACTGCTCGAAGTTATCACAACACTGGAGTCGCACAATACAAGATGAAAGATTACAAGACAGCATTGGTATCACATCAACATGCTCTTCAAATAAGATTAAAGCTGTTTGCAGAAGACCATCCTGACACAGCTCGAAGTTATGACAGCATCGGAATCACACAAGATAATATGAGAGATTACAAGTCAGCATTAGAGTCAAAACAAAAAGCTCTTCACATCAGATTAAATTTGTTTGGAGAAGACCATCATGAAACTGCTGAAAGTTATAACAGCATTGGAGTCACGCAACATGAAATGAAAAACTATCAGTTAGCATTAGAGTCGAAAGAAAAAGCTCTCCAGATTAGACTAAAATTGTTTGGAAAAGATCACTCTGACACTGCTGCAAGTTATAATAGCATTGGTATCACACAACATCAGATGAAAAACTATAAGTCTGCAATAAAGTCACATGAACATGCGCTTCAGATCAGATTGGAATTGTATGGAGAGAATCATCCTGACACAGCTGAAACGTATCGTGCAATTGGGGTCATTCGACGTGTGATGAAAGACTACAAAGCTGCGTTAAATTTGCATCAATATGTGGTACAAACTATTTCAAAGTGGTATGGAGAATACCATTCCAAAACAGCTCTTAGCTACTGGAGCATTGGAATCACACAACGTGAGATGAAAGATTACAAGTCAGCGTTAGTGTCGCTTCAATAAGCTCTACAAATCACATTAAAACTGTTTGGAGAGAATCACTCTGACGTTGCTAAAAGTTGTAATATCATTGGAGATACACAATGAGAAATGAAAGATTATAAATCAGCTTTAGAGTCATACGAACAAGCGCTTGAAATTAGATTGAAACTGTATGGAGATAATCATCCTGACACAACTAAAAGCTATGAAGATATTGAACTCGTACAAAACTACGTGAAAAATGTTGAGCCTATGATACCAGTACAGAGGAAGTGGCCAGATTGGATGAATTATCTATAAAGTACATTGTACAAAACTGCAACAAAATATGGAATTGTGACAGCTAGAATATAAAATAATGTCAATAAAAATCTAGGACCCATATATACCAGGTGATCTTGATACGCGGAAAAGTACTGGCACTAGTTGTCAAATAGAAATCCATTTTATGATTAAAACAACTGAATATCTCCTGTAATATACTTTATTTCGATTCCATATTTTTGCCAGAGCTATAGTTTTCATAACCAAACATAATTGCAAAATTTCAACTAGTTTCATAAAGAATAACGAAAGATATAATTGACTGAATACATCAAAATGGATTTCTATTCGGACAACCCTTTCTGAGCGCTGATTGGCTAAAATACGAACACGAGATCACCTGGTAGTTATATTAAGTAGCGCCTCCCACTTTCCCCTCTAGGCAGCGATATAGATCCATCGTGGTACATTTTAAAGAACATTAAAATGAAGGACGTGCATATCAATGCCGCTGAATAATTACTCAGACGGAAAGGGCCACTGCCATAGAATATTTAGCCTGCTCACAGACGTTGTAGTTCTTACGCTAAGCGGCGAAATACTACCGTCTGCTTACCCGAGCTGCATATTCAATTCCCTTTGTTTTAGGAGGCAATCATCTGGCAGTGTTCAAAGAAGTTAGAGCGAATTGGAAGCCGCCTTATTGAGAGATTAGCTACTGGGAAAGCCCTTGCACATGCATTGGAATATATTGTTTGGGTTGAAACTTGAAATTTGTTTACTTGCGTGTATATATTTTGGAAAGTATAGCGTTGAACTTCACGATGTTTACGATTAATAATATTGTGATCATCTTCTCGCATGTTCAGCAAACAATCGGTGTATATAAAGTGCTAAAGCAATGCAGTAGGCGAAATTTAAATTTTTGTTAACAATGACAAACAATCAATCGGGAAACTCGAGTATATCAGGATATGTCCAAATGTTGCTCTTGATACTTCCAATATGCCATGACTTCGACGAAAACTTTTAAAAGATTAAGCTCTCATTGTCATGTAGAGAAGTATAGCCAAGTTAGAGTATAAACGTTTTGAAGTTTGGGCGAATTGGAAAATTCATCACGGCGCTATTTAAATACAAGTTTCTCGGGTTTGTGTTGTGTTTACAGTTTACATTCAGAAGTAGTTGCTCAAACAGCAAATTAGTTTACTTTGAAGCAATTATTTCGCTTTCTAAGCCACAGTATTATATCTATATATATATATATTAAATTATAATTTTTACAAAATTATACAGTGTTCTCCGGATTAAATGCCTGGATTACAAATCTATTAAATATATTATAATCTTCAAATCTTTTATATATATATATATATATATATATATATATATATATATATATATATATATATATATATATATATATATATATATATATATATATATATGTATAAGTAGGTTTGTGTATACGAAACGCAAAGAGTGCTCAATATCATAAAGATAGAGCAAATGTAGAATTTCGCTTACCTCAAAATTCCGCAACAGTCTGTTGCGGAATTTTGAGGTAAGCGAAATTCTACATATATGTATATATATATATATATATATATATATATATATATATATATATATATATATATATATATATATATATATATATATATATATATATATATATGCAATGCGCCTAAACATGGCTGCAATGTATTTCTGCTCTTGTGTTTTATTGATTTTATCTGTGCGTTTTTATGTTTTATTCCATCAAACTATCGACTATAGTGAACATAATGCTATATTCGATCAAATCGAGAGTCCTGGAAGTTGGCACAAACGTTATTTCTTATGCAAGGACGGCGGACATTATCCATCACGACCATTATATGCCTGGACAAAACACGGCTATATCTGTTACATTCTTCCACAGAAAGACCTTACAATCTATGTGGATGTTGAGCTAAATCCAGGGCCTATCAGATCGTTTAATAACTGTCAGAATATTTCGGGGCAGACCAGTGTATTACATAGTCAGAACTGCTATCGAAATGCTGACATTACAACAACAACAACAACAACTGGGTCTGGGCGTCATATGTATGACAATATATTATTACAATTGTCGCATTTACCGGCGAACAGTTTGTGTTTCTACAATAATCGTATTCCGGCTGGAGCCGCTTTAGGGTGGCCATATGTTTGCAAAACTAATCGAAGCTATCGTGGTAAGAGAAGTGGGAAAAAAGTAAAGCAGAGGGAAGCCTCGAAGTATTTTAATATACAAGTTATCGGTAATTCACCTATGGTACAAAGGTCAAAGAAATTTGCATATAATTCCACGCGAAATTATTATTATAATAATCTCGTACAAATTCCTCTGGAATCTAATGTTTCAAATTGCGGACCTCGTTTACGGTTTGCGGTATGGAATGCACGTTCAATTAAAAACAAAATAACTTCGCTATGTGACCTTGTTATCTCTGAACGTTTGGATATATTAGCTTTAACTGAAACGTGGTTGACAGGCAGCGATAGTTTTGTTATTGCTGATCTCACAAACACTTTGCAAGACCATGATATTTACCACTTGCCAAGGACAAACAGGGGTGGTGGAGTAGCAGTCATTGTACGCAGAGGTCTTACCATAAAACAAACGGAATCTTGTATATTTCAATCTTTTGAGCATCTTGATTTAAGTGTTACCTTGGCGAACAAGACTTTTCGTTTACTGACAATTTATCGGCCGCCACCATCAAGGAAGAACAAACTAACAGTTGCACGTTTCTTTTCTGACTTCTCTACATTGCTCGAAGGTATTACATCAGAACCAAATAAAATTGTATTGGCTGGGGATTTTAATTTTCACATTGATAACCTTACTGACACTAATGCACAGACTTTCACGGAACTGATTGATTCTGCTGGTTTACAACAGCACGTTACTGGTCCAACACATCGACGTGGCCATACGCTAGATCTTGTCTTGACTCGTTCTGACGATAATCTAATTTCAAATTTGACTGTTTTGGGAGAATCATTATCTGACCATCAACCTGTTTTGTGTAACATCGACTTTCCCCGCCCGCATGCCACCCGTAAAGCTGTTCTTTTTCGAAAGACTAAAAACATTGACATCACAAGATTTCAGAGTGATATTGTGGTGTCCTCACTAGTGGAAAAAGGTTCTGAAGATGCAACAAATTTGGACACCCTAGTAACACTCTATAATGATACTCTCTGTTCACTTCTCGACAAACATGCTCCGATACAATCAAGGAATATTACTCTGAGACCACACTCTCCTTGGTACACGGATCAACTACGGCAACTAAAACGTGAGAAACGACGGTTGGAGAGACAATATGTATCTACCACCTTAACTGTCCACAAGCAAATGTACCAACAGGCATGTGCTGAGTATGCTCGTTCACTGGAAACTGCCAAAGTAAATTATTATACGACCAAAGTACAGGGGTGTAATAAAAAACAGTTGTTTAACTTTGTCGATGAAATGCTGAATGTGAAAACTACTCCAATTCTACCAAAACATGAATCCACCGAGGATCTAGTTGAACAGTTCAGTGCACATTTTGAATAAAAAATTCTTATCTTAAGACGGGAACTATCTGAATTACGTTCAAATGTAACTGTTGATCGGGCCGAGAAATGTTGCAGTTCTCTAACACATTTTGAGCGAGTTTCAATGAGTACAGTGCAGGATATCATCATGGTGTCAAAACCTAAATCTTGCCAATTAGACCCAATTCCAACATGGCTGCTCAAAAGTTGTATTGATGTCCTTTTACCAACTATAACAACCATCATAAATGCATCTTTGGAACAAGGAGTTTTTCCAACGAAATGGAAAGAATCTCTTCTGCGGCCTCTTATCAAGAAAATGTCATTAGATCGAGATGAATTTAATAATTTTAGGCCAATCTCAAATTTAGCATTTCTCTCCAAAACACTCGAAAAGATTGTTGCTTCCCAACTTGACACCTACTTAACAAATCATCAATTATATGCCAAGATGCAGTCAGCGTACAGAATCCATCACAGTACAGAGACAGCACTACTTAGAGTTGTGAATGACGTAATGAGGGGGATTGATGATCAACAAGAATGTGTTCTAGTGTTACTTGATCTTTCATCAGCATTCGACACAATTGATCACGACATTTTGCTTGACAGGCTGTGTAATCGTTATGGTCTTTCGGGGGTAGTTCTGGATTGGCTAAAGTCTTACCTTTGTGATCGCCCTCAGCGCGTGGTCGTAGATAATGTTTCTTCACGACCGTGTTTCGCTAGCTGTGGGGTTCCGCAAGGATCTGTTTTGGGACCATTGTTGTTCTCTTTGTACATTGCTCCCCTCGAAGATGTGATCATGTCCCATGGAATAGATGCCATGATGTATGCTGATGATTCTCAACTTTATATTTTTCTGAATCGTAATAACTGCATTATCGCAACTGAAAAGTTGGAAGCCTGTATTGACGACGTTATGAATTGGATCACTTGCAATATGCTTATGGGCAATCCATCAAAGACGGAAGTAATTCATTTTTATTCACGTTACATGAAACCTGATTGTCCTCTTCGTCCCATCAAAGTAGGAGGGCATGATGTACAACCCGTAAACAAAGTAAAGGATCTAGGAGTTACACTCGATTCCTGCCTTACTTTCAAAGTGCATATTAATAACATATGTCGTTCGGCTTCACAATCAATACATCAAATTGGCAAAATAAGAAAATATCTTTCACGAAAGGACACCGAAAGTCTTGTTCATGCTTTTATTTCATCCAAACTTGACTATTGCAACGGCGTGCTCTACGGCCTTCCTTCTTGTGAATTACAGAAGTTGCAAAGGCTACAAAACACTGCTGCCAGATTAGTCGTCAGAGAAAGGAAATCTGCGCATATAACACCGGTACTTTCTAATCTCCACTGGCTTCCTGTGCAACAACGAGTGACTTTCAAACTCCTTTTGGTGACCTATAAAGCTCTTAATGGCATTGCCCCTTCATACATCACCGATCTACTTCGTCGTCATATCCCTGCCCGTACTTTGCGCTCCAGCAGTCAAAATTTGTTAACTGTGCCTAGAGTGCGAACAGAGACATATGGCGAGAAGTCTTTTTCCTGCGCTGCTCCGAGACTCTGGAACAATCTTCCTGACTCTATTAAGCAAAGTCCAACTATCGATGAGTTTAAGGCAAAGTTGAAAACATATCTTTTTAGGATAGCTTTTACTGAGTAACTGTTTTTAGATTTTTAGATTCTTGTTGTAAAAAGCATTGAGACTCATGTATAATGCGTTTTAAAGAACAATTATATTATTATTATTATTATTATTATTACATTTATGTGTTTTAGGTAGTCCATACAGGATGCCTAAGCGTGAACCTGTAGGATACAGTTCATTGTAAGTTTTTTGATCAATTGTTTCAGACGCTTTCAGATTTTTCAGCAGAGTCTTGACATGATTTTCGCGCTGTAGTGTTGCTTTGACAGGATCTTCATTCAAGAGTTCAAATTTCGTGTTATCAGACAGAATTTCCTCCATTTTTTTGTTGTAGTCATCTTTGTTTAGAATAACAACGCCGTTACCTTTATCAGGTCTCATCTGTATTTGTATCCTACAGGTTCACGTCTGTATCCTACAGGTTCACGCTTAGGCATCCTGTATGGACTACCTAAAACACATAAATGTAATATCCCACTTAGGCCTATCCTTTCTTGCATTAATCATTATTCGTATAATATTGCTAAATTCTTTATTCCTCTTCTCACTCCCATCTCGACCAGCACTTATGTCATTAAGGATTCCTTCTCTTTCGTCCAGGAACTTCTTTCTTGTGATCTTGATACGAGTAATGTTATAATGGCTAGTTTTGATGTTACTTCACTCTTTACTAACATCCCTGTTGATGAAACGATTGAGATAATTACTAATCGTTTGTTTTCTAACTGTTTTAGATTTCATGGCCTCACTCGTTCTGATTTTACTAAACTCTTAAGTCTTTCTGTCAAAAATTGTCATTTCGTGTTCAATGGTCGTTTATATCATCAAGTTGACGGCGTAGCTATGGGTAGTCCTTTAGGACCTTTGTTTGCTAACATATTTATGTCCTTTCACGAAAAGAATTGGCTTCACAACTGTCCTTCGTCTTTCAAACCACTTCTCTATAGACGATATGTTGACGATTGTTTCCTACTTTTCCGTTGCTCAGAGCATGTACAGCTCTTTCTCACATATCTTAATCGCCAGCACACCAACATTCGCTTCACTAGTGAGGTTGAACGTGATGGTAAGCTCCCATTTCTTGACATTGACATATCCCGCTCCAATGGAAAATTTTCTACTTCTGTTTACCGTAAACCTACGTTTACTGGTCTTTTTACCAACTTCCATAGCTTCATTCCACTTACATACAAACGCAGCATAATATCTTGCTTAATACACCGCATCTTTAGCATTTGTTCTAGCTATGCATGAGACTTTCCATCACCAACTTGAAGCAGCACGTAGAATGTTTATCTTAAATGGTTTCCCTTCTCATATGTTCGACCGATGTGTTAGAACGTTTCTTAACAAAGTATTTCAACCTAAGCTACCTGTTCATACTGTTCCTAAGAAAATAATTTATTTCTGTATCCCTTTTACGGGCACTCACTCCTTGCAAATTCGCACGATAGTCAACCGTCTTTGTCGTGCTGCTTTCCCACATCTTGATATAAGATTTGTCTTTCGATCAACTAAACGGCTCTCAACCTTTTTCTCTTTTAAGGACAAAATACCCAAAGCTCTGAGGTCGGGTGTAGTGTACTCTTTTACGTGTCGATGCTGTTCCGCATCGTATGTGGGTGAAACCACGCGCTATCTACACATCCGAGTTTCGGAACACCTGGGTATCACTCCTATCACTGGCAAACAATGTAAAAATCCTCCCCAGTCCAGCATTTTCTCACATCTCACATCCACAGGCCACGCTGCTTCTATTGACGACTTCGAAATCCTCTCCTCTTGTTCAGATGAACAAGAACTCCTTATTCATGAAAGCTTTTTTATCTCTAAAATGAAACCCTCTCTCAACGTTCGAGGCAGTTCAATCCCTCTTCACGTATTCTGATCTCTTTTTTTTATGTTTTGTCTGTTTGTGTTGTCTAATTTGGTTGGTCTCATTTTTGTCCGTCACTTCCCTTCATTATCCATTCTTATCCTTACGTTTTGTGTACCTCGTATTCGCTTGTAATTTAATATTGCTATAATAGCTTTACTTTATGCTTAATTACTCTTACAGCTTGTAATTTAATATAGTCTGAAGATGTCTTGAGTTAAGACGAAACGTTACTTAATCTTTAATAAAATTTTTAAATTTAATGGTTTATGGCTCTTTTAAAAGCACTTTGCTGGGCATTAATATTTATTATCAGAACTAAACTTACTTGCGATTTGCGGTAATTTGGGTAAAATTGGCAGAAGCCTTATGGATAATTGGGGGGAAAATTAGGCAACTCATTAATATTCTATTTTGTGGCTATCAACGACGATCTGACATCCGACATCCACCACGCGTGCCGAAACCTATACTCGCCAGGGCACAGCGAGTAATAAATATGGCGGATTTCTAAAATATTCTACATTGCAAATAAAGATTATATACAAGCAGGATACTGAATACTTCAGGTACCGTATACTCTATTTTACGGTGCAGTCAGTTACAGGATAAAATAGTTAAATAAATAATAATAATAAAATAGTTAAATATCAACCTGATATATAGTACACGCACTAGCTGCATTTTAGAATTTTCATGCTTACCGTTAGACCCGTTGTTCATACAATCTATCCCAAGTCGGGGATTCTTTTCAGCCACTTGGCGAGATTTTATATCAGCAACAGTTTGTATTGGATTATATCCAGAATTTTCTGCCAATGACAATGGTATAGCTTCCAGAGCCTCTGCAAATGATCTCATCGCATATTGCTCTAGAGTAGAGATCTACAAACAAACAACTAATGTAATTGCATGCTAAGACTAACGAGAAAGTCGTCTGCCGACGGCACTTTCCATAAAAACAGGGGTTGCGAACTAAAGATTTCTAATACATATAGACTATACTGTAAAAAGTACCTATACGAATCATAGCGATGATTACCTTATCAGCACGTTCACCCACTTTCAAAGAACAGGCTAGTTCAACAGCACCACCTCCATATACAATACGATTATCACGAACAAGATTTCGAACGACACATAGTGCATCGTGGATACTACGCTTCGCTTCTTCGATTATCTAGAGTAAATGCGGAATTACGTTAATACAGTACTGTACAGTACATACAAAAAGTATTTTAATTTATAAAACATGTCACAAAACGGCGTATTTATAGTCAAATGAAAACTAAACATAATGTAAGCAATTACCAAGCACTGTTTATTTCAAATGCATCATACTAATTACTGAACAAATAGATACTGTAGAAGCGCTGTAATTCATAATGTAGACACCGACGATGCCATCACATAACATCAACGATAACGTCATGCAGACATCGATAACACCATCAGCAGATGTTGATGATGATGTCATGCAGACATGGATGATACTATTATACAGACATGAACGAAGATGCATACATACGCCGGTGACGACGTCAAAGCTTGTGTAAAACACTAGTGTACTAACCATTTTATTTCCTCCTCGAATAAATATTGTTACAGCACGGGTATTCTTACATTCTTCTATAACCAACATACGATCTTTAGTTGTACCAAATGATAACTCTCTTACGATTCCTGCATGGCCTAATTTCTCTGAAGTTAGTTCTGAGAATCGAGGGACTATACGACCACCTGTTGCGATCGCAATCAACTAGAAATAGAAAATTAAGATGAGGAAGAGCAGGCAAAAGTACCCACCTATTAAATCGTCAAAACAGCGGCAAATACAACAGCTACAGGATTGTACAGGGCTGAAAAGCAACACTATATTGGGCAACACAGAACACTAGCGGACACCACATTTTCCGTGCATGCAGAGGCGGACACTAAGGAATACGAGGAGGAGCAGGCAAAAAAGTTTAAAGAAGTAGGATCTGCATCAACAAAAGGATGATAATATACGAGTGATGCCATTGCCCATTATACAGTATGGGTAAATATGGAGATTTTTGGGTATCTCGCTCATATATGCAATCACAATATACAACCATATCCAGTATAATAAAAGTAAAAAACTGTACATTTAATTAACAACCAAAAGAGCAGCACCAATATTACAGTACAGTCTTCAAGAAACGTGTAGTTGATTCGCGAGCAAGCAGACTTCCGTAGACGGTATGCTACCACGAATACTGGACTACATGTAAAATACAGTAATTGACGTTAAATACCTCTATTTCAGGACCACCAACCCATCTGACAGCAGGTAATTCGTTTTGTAGTAAAAGATGATTAGCTTCATCATCAAATCCCCACTGACAGAGGGCAAGGTTAGCTCCTGTATCTTTCACTTGTTTGATCATTTCAATGAACGTATTCTTCTCATATTCACGTAGTTTATGGTAGTCTTCAACCGAAGTCACATCAAGTTTATGTTTGGTCTTGGGTTTAGGAGGTTCAAACGGACAGGTTAGGATAGCTATTTTAGCGTCTTTTACAACCTAGGAAGGAAACATGACATGGCCATGACGCAAGATCTTCTCGGCAATTGTAACACGATTTCTGACTCAAAGCAATGCTACATTATGTAGAGTAAATAGTTTAGAAATAAAAATTACAAGCTTGGTCAACGTTATTCAACGCCCAATTTACACTCACTATCGAATAATACCAATACTAGTCATCTCTCTTACAGAAATCTTAATTGTATTCAGGGTTTTTAGTATATTTATTTTTATATTCATTTGCCTAAATTGAATTCTCACACACGCTAGGAGCTGCTGCAGCAACGTGCTCACCTAACCTGCACCGGGCACCTGGCAACACACTAGATCTATCGCGCTACCAGTAGTGTGTGAAAAAACATTTTCCGCTTCTTTCCTCAACCAGCGGAAAATAACACTTTTACGTTCCATTTCCACTTTAAATTTGCAATGTGACACACCAGTGAAACTGGTATAATGAAACCTACTGTACTGCACAGTAATTAAATGAGTACCACAAAGTTTAAACTTTCATGCTTTCTCTAAATGCAAAAACATCGTGATGTCTGCCTAAAAAACTATATCCCTGTTTTATACCTTTGGCATTTGAGGGTGACTCATATCTTTATCAACAAGTACTCCTTTGACCAACATCGTGTCATCCAGTTTACCACCAACTTTGCCAGTGACTTTAATCAATTCAAAATCTACATCTTTTCTCTCAAGATCAGCCACAGAAAGCACAGCTTCTACCGCTATTTCAGCTATCTGTTGTTGACAGCGACTTACTCTGAAATATGTATAATCAAAGTCTTAACAAGACATCACATTACATATTGATAACATAACACACTACTACTACAGATTTTACATCAGTCTGCTGTTGACATCATGTCCTAATTCATGTAGAAGTATTTCAGACTCAGTTCCGAAATATCATCAATTCGAACCGACTTGACCACGTAGCTCAATTGGCAGAGCATTGGACAAGTATCCCAAAGGTCGCGGGTTCGATTCCCACCGTGGCCAAGTAAACTTTTCGGCTTGCCCGGTGTGGATGCACACTCAAAGTAACATCACAAACATCATATTGACCTGAGTACACAACACCAACACGCACGCACGCACGCACGCACGCACGCAAAAAGGTATTCCTTAATTAAACTAGCCAGCTCACCAGGCTTGGCAAGGTCGTCACTTACAGTACAGCTGCTGCACTTCACCAGCACATCTGGTGTCTAGTAGTAGTAGTGGCACTCCACTGCTCAGACAGTAGATTCAAGTATTATACTGCATACTGTAGTGAACAATTTAGTCACCCGATAGCTGCAATATGAGAACTACAGTAGTGTTTGGTGAAGTTCACCTATAAACTACAGTGTATTGTATAAGCCCCAATTACACAGTAATGGATTCGCTTTCTTTGACATCAACATTATGCTGTCCAGGAGTAATGTCTGCCCACAAAAAAGTTCCCCTTTAGTAAAGAGTTTTCGTTCTATTTAGTCATACTATTGCAATTTTGAGTGTCAAGATATTTCTGAAACAGTTAAATTTGAGCAAATGCAGTATCGTGTAACTGGGGCCATAGTGTGTAATAAATGTTCAACATTAGGGTAAATTGTCGCCATTCATTCTAATATTAGTATTTTTTTTCAATTAAATACCAACAATGAATATTAATAATTTCAAATTATTACATCCATTATTAGATCCATGTCATCATGCATGCATCTGAACTATAAAGTGCAGTGCAAGATAACAACAAAATGAAATGGCATTACTCTAGCATGGTGTCTGGCCTTACAAAACAATCAGTTGCTTTGAAGGAATTCAGCCATGCATGTCAGGGCGCGAAATAACGGCTGGAGGGACGCCGGTCAAGGTGACCGGCCAACTCAATTTTAGCTCGGACATACCGTATTTCTGGCCGAAAACTCCTTCACAGACCTTCACATAAAACAACTTGCACTGCGCTAAAACAATGGCCTTAATTAACTCTTAAGCCAAAAACATGGCCATGGGCTTTGTGACGTACTGCGTGGGAAAGCTGGCGTACATTGAAGTTCTTTTCCCGCAACGTATTGGACAACATGTTATGGTTCTTAATTATAATGCTTGACAACTTTGTTTTGATTATGAATTCAAATGAAGATTAGTTGTTTGTTCTTTTACCAAAAGTGACTAGTCAAAATGACCGGAAAGGTAAGAATTTGACCGGACAATTCCGCATTCTGGCCGGACATTGTCCGTTGACCGGCCGTTATTTCGCGCCCTGATCATGTGTTCAAGCTTAATGTCAATTCAATTGACAGATGCTTCCACATTTACTGTAATTAATTAATATTGTATTTTGAAAAAGAAGAATGATATAATTACATTTTTGAACCTAATGTAGTCTTCGCAGTTTCCACCAAGAGTCCTTTCACGTCTTTATTGATTGGAAAACTTTCACTGATCTTATCCAGTTCCTCTAATGCAATCTGTGCTGCTAGTTCATAACCATCAGCAATACGGATTGGATGAATACCATGGTCTAATAGTTGTTCTGCTTGTTCAAGAAGAGCTCCTGCCAAAACTGGTAGTTTGTAAAAATAAAAAATATATGCTTTGATCACTTATTATAATATTTTGATGTAATACATAAATATGCAACATAGATCATTGATCAGCCACTGATACAAGTTGCTGAGGCCAGACAAAATGACTGTTGTTTTAGGTTCCTGAAAAATGTTACAAATATCTCTGTCGTCAGACCATAAATATTCCATGGACATACATAATTACACAGATTTCCTTTTTTTTACAAAAATACGCTTTCTATTTAACATTTTGTCTGCCCATCTAGTCAAGTAGTTGTGTTAGATACAGGTACTGTAGTTTTGAACTTGGAAATCTATGGGTTGATCTACATTTGTCTATAAGTTTATCATAGTCATACACACTGTTACTTGCTGGAAAATAGTATTCTATTATTAAAAATTTTATAAAATAAAATGTTTTTGTGACCTAGGTAGTAGAGTGTGAAATATGAAACCAATTTTATTTTTTCGGCCATGCAATTTGTCACACAATAATGTTCAATGTTGGTTACTGTAAAGCAAGCAATAAAAAATACTATTTGACAAAATAGTTTAACTTCATGCAACTTCTCCATTGCAGGACAAGTTGCATGAAAAATTATTGGGTCATTCCACAAAACATCAACCTCCTCCACAGTAGACTGTTGCGGCATATAACAATATACCGATAATTATCAGTTTTTTAATATAAATACCGATTATTCGGTATTGTAGATATCACATTTACGTTTCTATATTTAAATGTCATATTAAGCTTTTTCAAGTGCTGATTGGAGTTATTTCAGAAGGACGAAGACAACCAATGTGCTAACTCCGCGGGAAAATCCGTAAATTAAGGTTAGAGCGAGAGCTAAAATGTGTTTGTTTACGTTGGCATTGCAAGGAGTAATATGTCACTTCGCTTGTCAAAAAGTGAACTTTTAGAACGGTGGATTACAAATGTTTTAGAAAAACAAAAACTAATCTCATTGCACATTGTTTAGGCATAAAAAAATACTTGTGGTTCCGGTTTCATATCGCGAAAAAATTAGGGTCGGTAGGTCGGAAAAGTTTTTTTTTAATATTTTTTTTCAATAATCAGTGTGACAACAGACGCTATTTTGGCAGCAGCCCGCAACTACCCGGAGAAAATAGGGTCGCACGGTCAATCAAGTTGAAAAAAAATAGGGTCGGTCGGGAACCGGAACCACAGGTTTTTTTTTACGCCTTATCTGGTGAGATACAGTAGGACAATCTTTGTTTCTAACTTGCAGTTGAATAACATGTTTTGAAACAAATTTCCCGGTCAAAAATATCACACATGATTCATCCAGTGCGGTAATCAATGCTAATATGCATTTTCAATTTCTAAAGCGGACATTTCACAGGCTACCGTACTACAGATCACTGATGTTAGAGCTGCTCCCATCGGTTAATTTTCGTAATCGATTAATCGTTGTCAACAATCGATTAATATCGATTAATCGTATTGATAATTAAATAAATTTAAATATGACATGCCCATGGTGCAGGTTTGTAAGTGTTTACTAAATTTTTGGAGGTTGCACAGAAACATGTCCATTTCATTGCTCAAATATGGCACTTGGTGTGGCCAAACTAACATTTTAAAACGTGAAACAAGGTTTTAAAATCTGCACGCCGCAATGTTGGACGCCAATGCTAATAAATTCTTCTAATAAAAAACTTTAAAGATATTTTCGCAGAACTGGTAAACCCGATCAGACTAAGGTAAACTTTGCACGCTGCGAGTGAATTTTATATTTGACAGACAAAGTTATGAATGTTTGTCATTTAAATTAATCACAATCTTGTCGCAATTTTTAAAATTAATCAGGAAAGAAATTAAATAATTCCCGCATCAGGCGTTATATATTTGGTGTTATATATATGGCGTTCAGTGGCGTAGCCAGACCTTCATTTTTGGGGGGGCGAAGCGAAAGCCGAAGGAGCGGGACCATCTAGGGGGGTCCGGGGGCATGCCCCCCGGGAAAATTTTGAAATCTAGAGTCCCTGAAATGCGATTTCAAGCATTTTTTTTTTGGGGGGGGGGTGTGAAATCTTGCAGAATTCCGAAGATTATAGAGTACATTGAAGACATAAATTTTCCCAGACATTTCTAATTTTCTACTCGGAATTAAATAAATTGGAAAAGTCACCTTGAAAAACAGGAGGAGCCGGTCAGCGTCACCTTATTTCCCCTCTGTGTTGCTGGGGGAAGAAAGTCCCAATGTGATTTTGATCAGAAACGTTGCATTTAAATCATTCTAGGTTCTATGAGACAGCATTTCCGCATTCTCAAAATTGCGTTGCTTTTTTATACGATACAGAATAAGTCTGAGAGGAATATTTATGCTATGATAATGCATACATGTAAATCTAAACTAAATCTATTCTTCTTGGAACCATATCTACAACTGCTTTAATGAAATTTTACAACTGATCATGTTCCTCCAGTATATCGTCGTTTTCCTCAGTCGAGACGTACTTAATCAGTTTCAGATTCGAGAATGTAACGCGTACCCCCCCCCCCCACATTTCTCTACGGATTTAGCCTTTTTCAGTGGATGTTTTTTTTGCGATTGGGCGGTCGCCCCCCCCCCCCTTGGCTACGCCACTGATGGCGTTATATATATGGTGTTATAGATGATCCAATTATCCAACTGCTGTTAAGCCTAATCGATTGAGGAAAAAATAATTGATTGATCGATTAATCGGGAGCAGCTCTAACTGACGTCGATCACACTTTATTGAAAACATCACACACCCGATGAGGCAAAGCTGTTACCGGTATATCGTGGTTGTTTGGCATCATTTGGAAACAGAAAATGTTGCATAAAATTAAGCAAATTTTGCATAAAATTAAGCAAAATACAATAGCAAAAAAATATCGATATATCGGTATTATTTTCCGGTATCGGTTTTCTTTTTTTTAAATATCGCAACAGCTTACAGTTACTCCACAGTGGAAATTCGAAGTTAACTAAGCCTCCCCCCCAGATGTCTTGGCACATTTTATGATTATTGAAGTTGATTTCACCCATTTCCTCTTTGTTACAGTAGTCTACTAGTCTGTATCTTTTCTGGAATGACCCACTGCATTGTGTAAGTCTCTTGAGAAAGATTAGAACACTCAACATTTCAAGAATTTTAGTGAACCACAGAGTTACAGTATAATGATGAATAATGCATCAGTGATTCTTACCAACGACTCCTGTTGTGCCATCACCAATTTCATCATCCTGGGACTTTGACAACTGAACCATCAATTTTGCAATTTGATGTTCTACTTCCATCTGGCTTAATATTGTTGCACCATCATTTGTTATTGTAACATCACCATCACCACTCACCAACATTTTATCCATACCTAAACATTTTACACTAACATCTTCACACTTGAAAAAAAAGCCTTAATTTAAGATAAGCTAAGCTGCACAGTAGGCTGAATATGGTACTTAAGTATTGTCATTATAACTATTGTCATTCATTGTGGAAAACCATGAGATTTAGAGGTTACAGGCCTTAAAATATCAGTCAGTCACAGACATTGTCCAACCCATTCATCAAATTGTCCGACGTACAGAGGAAACCACTGGACATTCTGTCCGACCTAAGTGAAACTGAGGTTTATTGTTTGTTCGACCCGAGTGTATTGGTGTCCGACCGAACTGTAGCTTTGTCTGACGCTTTCTCCACGTACGTAAATCAAAATGTACCCTAGTCCAGAACCAGAGTTTGTATAAAAATGAACCGGAAATGTTGCGGGGCGGCAAGTGAAATGGTGAGGTGGAAAACGGGCGTAAGTTATCGAAGTCGTACTGCTATCATTGGCAAGCAAGTTAATTTTGGCTTGGAAATAAGTATGAATGACACAAATTATTTAATATCTTCACAACATTTAGTTCAGAATGAATACATTATGCTGATATTAATTTGCGTCATTCAGACTTATTTCCGACCCAAACTGAACTGAAGTCATCGGACATATGTCCGACTCAAACTCAAAATCATCGGACATTTTGTCAGACGGCCCTGTAAAAGATATTTAAAGGCCTGGAGGTTAAACTGTGAGATGAGACTTGAAATCACGAAACTCACAGCAAACCTGTGAGAATCATACATATCTGAGAATCAAACTATTTACTATCAAATTAATTACAAATCTACAACATTATTGTAAACTTGTTTTGCCTTACCATAAACCACCGAATTTAAGCTCAGGTCATTCCGAATATAAGCCCTTCCCCCTCAAATATAAGCCCATGGGCCTTATTACTGGACAGGTATTTATAATAGTATGTTAACCCATTAAGTGCGAGTGGTCTCCTCTTGACGAGCAAAATTGTCTGATGTTAGACAGAGTGAAATAATAAAGTAGGGTGCAATGTCACTCAATGGGTTAACTGGGCAAATAGACCAGTTAACCAACTTGTTTTATTTGGTGTTATATAATGTATGTTCACAGTATAGTTTACAGGTACAATAAATATTATCCCTAACATCAAATATCACCTGTAAATCAGCCCTCAATATATAAATAAGCCCATCAATAAGGGCTTGCGAACGAGGTTAATACGGTAGTTCAATGCCAATACTACAGTACTATCCAAATGTAGGATTCTAGAATTTTGGGTTCAAACTTCAAGTATCTAGTAGCCTGCATGCAGGCCCAAGGGAAGTGATAGTGGGCCTGCAAGCAAGGCCAGGTATTTTGTAAAACGCCCCTTTTCATAACACGCCCTATTCGCGCGTCAATTGTCAAAAAAGAACCAATAACAGCTACCCAAATATTAACAAACAAACTCGCATTAAACTGTTGCAGGGTTTTCTCTGCCAGAACAGAAACAATGTGTAAATGGCTGCGTTTTAACTCCAAAAAAGCAAGCAACACAGTCAGTAATTGCCAAATTTGCAAGTGCTCATTTTCAACAAAAATCGGAACAGGCAAATTAGGACGAATTTCAACAGAAAACCAGTCTCAAACTTCAAATTGTGAGGGAAGTCCTGCGACCACATTAGCACTAATGTGTGCTTCGCTGTCGCCATTGTAAAAAATAAATTGTCTCACTTTAATGTGCAATTCTTGTTGGCGGCAGAAAGTACGAAAATTTCAGTTATTTCATTTGGTAAAGAACTCTACAAAAGAAGAAAGCATTCAGAGCATCCAGATCGTTTCGTTTCAAACGGCAATTACCGTATTCTGTTTCGCCCTCTCAACGAAGCCTTGCAAATCGCAAAGTGTTTCGAATAGGCTTATTAAAATACATGCAACTGCCTCTAAATCTTCACCGCAAAAAGCGCGGTTTTCTTCTGTGCAAGAACAGAGTCAACATCAACCAAAAGGTAATTTTCTTGAGGAACATATAACGTATCAAGTCTGTTTGAAATAGGGATGAGCCGATTAATCGGTAAATAATCGGCAAAGCCGATTAATCGGCCGTTTTCTAAATAATCGGTAATCGGCCGATTATTGCCTGATAATCGGCCATAAGACTTTTTCTGCAGCTGCCAATCACATGCTAAAATACTGAATACAAGCGACACATTTTGTTGCAAAACCTGTGTCTTTTGTCTCAAACGAAGTGAAGCTGGGAACATTTCCACTAAAAAAACGCAGCAGACTAGCTCCGCACAGCTAACAATGTCTTGTTTTTACACCATAATCTGCCAAAACTAAACTTTGACTACTGACATGCGAGACTGAAGCTGTTTTTAATTGTACAAAGTGTGTATTGTAAACAATAAAACCGCATTTACAACTTCATTGTTGGTCATCTTGTGATTTTTCGCTTGCTTTTTAAAATAATCGGTGGGTACCGATTAATCGGCCGATTAGTTACAATAATCGGCTTATAAATAATCGGCCTCAGTAATCGGCAATTTTCCTTATCGGCTCATCCGTAGTTTGAAATTAATGAAACTCAAGTAAAGGTTTAATACTATAGTTTACCCCAGTCGTAATGTTGCTATTCCAACACTTCACGACAAGCAATCCCCATTGGGCGTAAAAAAAAATACCTGTGGTTCCGGTTCCCGACCGACCCTATTTTTTTCTACCGACCCTATTATTTTTTCAGCGCGATTGACTGTGCGACCCTATTTTCTCCAGGTGGTTGCGGGCTGCTCATACAGTGTGCCAAAATGGCGTCTGTTGTCACACTAATTATTGAACCAAATTGTCTAAATTCGTCCATAGGAAATACGCATCTCTAGTTAATATTGATGTTGGGACTCTACTGCAAATCGCCCAGCAAAAAAATGCCAAAACCATGAAAAAAATATTCAAAAAAAAATTTATTTCCGACCTACCGACCCTAATTTTTTCACGATATGAAACCGGAACCACAGGTATTTTTTTACGCCTTGGAGAACAGTGAACATCTTGTTCCATTTTTAATCGAAAAAAGTGATCAATTTTCGAATTTTAAGCTTATCAAAGCCTTTGTGATGAATCACTGATCTAATTATAGAATCCAACAGCAAACAGCCAATCAGAATGCTGCGTTCGTGGGCAAACATCGCACACCACTTCGAAGAGCGAACCGCCGCACCACCGGTCCGTTGCAGAAATTGAGACGATAACAACATTTCATATGTAAACAGAAGCCCTATCCAGTATGGTTTTTGCGTCGGACACAAAGTGATCCGATACAATGTAAACATAGCCTAAGTTTCTAGTAGTGGCAAAAAGTTCCCCCAAATTTCAAGCCCTTGGGTGTGAAATACACTAAACCCTAGGCTGTCGCTGTGCCAGGATAGGCATTGGCACACTATTGGCTTGGGGATGATATAAACATGTAATTTTTAACTACAACTACTAAACTCTCATAAATCAGCTTCAACAAATTTCAGGAAACTACATATACTCAAGCATTGTTAGACATGGGAGTGACAATTAACTGACATCAGTCAGTTTGTCAGTAATACTGCAAAATACTAACCATTTGGACCAAGGGAAGTTTTTAAAGTATTAGCAACAGTTTTAGCTGCCAGGATATGAGACTAGAAAATAATATTGAAAGAGTATTACAAGCAAGCGAAAACAAAATCTATACTAAATGTTAAAAGGAATTGACAAGTTTGACGGCTACCTTTTGTGCGTCAAGGCCAGTTAAACGCCGTTTTTTCTCTTGCTCCTTAAGGATAATAAATGGTCTACCAAATTCATCAAATGCAATAGCTTGTGGTGTGTTCATTTTGGAAGAAAATAGGTGCAAAAATCTCTCACAGTTTTAAGATTCTTAAGGATTCTTTCTGCAACTGTATTTATAGTGTTTTCTCCACTGAACTTGCTGTTCTTGGCATTCTTGAATCTTGATTCTTGATGTACACATGCAGTAATTCAGCAATTATACCCGCGATGATCCCCAAATATCCCTACTCAAATACTTATTCCGCAGAATTCCGCAGAACTCTATATCAGATATCAGTACACGTGTACCACAGAGCGTGTACTCAGAGGGCATATACAGGGACTTCGCGAGTTCGCGAAGTCATTTTGACGAACATCTTGACCAACTTTTGAAAGGTTTGAGTAGGCTGGGGCGGTTTTTGAAAAAACCGAAACCGTCAAGAGAAAACCGAAAAACCTTTTTTTATCTATAAATTACACACAGACATACAATAGTGTAGCACATGTTTTTATTATGTGAAGAATTTTAGTTTTACAAGTAAGAAGACAATGTTAAAAGATCGTATTTACAAGTTTTCACCACAGTGTCCCTCTCTCCTCCGCAGAGGCTAGTCCTGGGTACGAGGTTGCGCAGAGGCTCGCCCTTTCCCGTCTGTGCTCTTTCGCTCAGCGGCTCCGCTCGTGTTCCAAGATCCGCCATGTAAAGTGTAGTGAAATGTATCTCAATTAATAAATTTACGTGGTGTTTCCACAAACAAAACTATTATATTTTATCGCCATGCCAGTGGCGCCGTGGGACCCATGTTTTTTTTTGGGGGGCAAGCGCATTACTTTTCCGACTAACTGAAAAATAGTTTCCGACAGAGACGTCGCAAAAAAATGTGTCAGTGTACCATTTTAGGGGTCAAAAAATTTTTCCGGACATACCAAAATTTTTCGTGACATTAAACAAATTTTCAGGACATCACCAATTTTCTCCATTTATCCAAAATGTTCCAATATAGCAACATACGCAACTTTCACAATTTCCGACAACGTTGACAATTTCCCGAAAAAATCCGACAACATTGACAATTTTCCGACGGGTCTCGACAATAGGGGGGCCATGCCCCCCCCCCCCCGGCCACGGCGCCACTGCGCCATGCAAACATACAAAGAACATATCTCAATACTAATTGTATAAATCAGACAGTGTCTTGACATTCTTTTAAAACAGTTCCAACTAACATCTAGATAATTTAAAAATTCATACAAAATTATGTTACAGATGCTGTTACTTTGTAAAATATTCTTTAATCTTTTTCTTTAATCTTCAACCCCTTTAAATTAAAAGCAGCAATTAAGAGAGGGGGGGGGGGGGGTAATTAAGCTGAACGGTTATTGTAAATAAGTTTCAATAATAAAAATAATCGTATCGTTATCGTTGGGTAGTATCATTAAATTTGATATGACATAATAAGCAAGTGGTAAAGATACATTTTTATAAGTTAGATAAAAAGCACAAAACCTACTGCTTACTTTTTTAGTCGCAATTCAATTGATCGGTAAATTAGAAGATCTGTTTTATATCGAAGGGTAAGTTATGCCGTAATTGCCGTTATAACAAATAACAGTTTTCTGAAGAAAAGTGCCTCATCAGTCCATACTTCCCGACTCTGCTAGCTCGTATCGGTCAAGTCCGTCTCGTGCTAGCCGCTAGAACGCCGTATGTTAACGTTTAAGCTAGATTTCGGCTAAACTCAACGTTGTCGTCAGAGGCGAGTGGTGAGATAGGTGGATTAGGTGGCTTACTAACCGGTATCGAACGAACGACGGGGGAGAGTGCCGGCGGCCCCCAGACCATTATGCCTGGCACCCTTTTCGCAAGATCCTATGATCGGTAACTACCACACACAAGTAAAAGTAACAGTTCGGTATATAAGTACGTTACAGTTACCAGGAGTGGTGCATGTGGGACGTTTTAGCTCGGTGTTTACCAAACCTTTGAAATGAACGCATGCGCGATAACCTAACACTCGGGTAAACGTAGCGCATGCGTGGGTATCATCCAATCAGGACGCAGGAAAATTTCGTACTGTCCCGCGAGTTCGAGACATGTGCGAGACGTCTCAGAAATTTGAAATTTGTTTACAAAAAATACAAAACAAATTCAAGACATATTTGTGCCTTGTTTCTACTTTTTAGTTTTAAATAGTGAAAATATTTAAGTAAATATATATTATTCACATATATTTGTTCGTTGAAGATTGAAATTTGAAGAACATGGCTAACCAAGGCGATAAATTGACTGGAAAAGATGAAGGCGAAGTGAAATCTACACCGACCCACCGTCAAGAGGTCGCGCCGCCGTTGGTTTCTAATATTGATACGAAAGGTACAAAGCTTTTAATAAGCTTTCGTACATTTATACGAGGAGTTCATTTATACAACAGAGCAAGCTCCAATCAAGGTTTAACTTCGAAAATATAATTTATATTTTGACATTTTGTACTGTTTTGTTTCCTTTTTTGACGATAGTTGATGAGAAAATATTCTTGTCTAAAGCTTGCTTCAATCGTCAAAGGAGGAAAGTTCTAGCTTAGCTTTATTTAGTATATGTGACAATTTGTATTTATATGAATCCTATTAATAAATTATTAACGTCCTTTTACCTGGATATAAAATTTCTAAAATCTTGGACATAGTGTATATTCTTGCATGCAGAATACACCCTTCTGGAAAATATCTTACTTTGGCTATAAAGCCTTATGTCAATCACGAAAAGGATGGCCAAGGTCAGTACTTTCCGGTTGCGTGTATATATATATATATATATATATATATATATATATATATATATATATATATATATATATATATATATATATATATATATATATATATATAAAACGTTTGATAGTAATATACTGTAAACCTCCGAATATAACCCCGCCCCAGTATAAGCCCCCTGTGTATAACCCCACCATATTCACTAAGACCACTAACACTCAGGCCATTCCGAATATAAGCCCCCCTGAATATAAGCCCCTCCATGTCTAAGCTCATTGGTTAATTAACACAGCGACAGTGATTTCAAAAGCTGAGACGACTGACAATAATGAGATTACAGTATTGTAATGTATAGGTTATAATTATACACTGTACGTTTGTATTTCTTTTCATTCACAGTATAGTTTACAGGTACAATAAATATTATTACTAACATCAAATGTTGTCTGTACATAAGCCCCCCCCCCCCCGTAATTAAGCCCTCCCATGTATAAGCCCAACGATATTTATGGTAATTACTGTAGTTGCATGTGGAGTAGTACTGTTTTCATTGCCAGCAAGCAAAGTGTCTATTGCATGGCTGGTTGAAATTGTAGTATGTAAGCCCAGCTTTTAGTGAAACCCACATGATGTGGGTTTCACTAAAAGCTGGGCTTACATACTACAATTTCAACCAGCCATGCAATAGACACTTTGCTTGCTGGCAATGAAAACAGTACTACTTATTTTTAATGGATTACATTGTTTACCTCGATTTCAAGCTATTGATTTGTGTCAGGAAAATTTAGGAAGTGTGTTAATTTACAGTTTTGGTGTTAAAACAAGATCCAGTGAGTCTGTGGTATGATAAGTGGGCTCATTATGCTCATGTGTTTGCATATAACACCTTTTCACAGTTTGCGATGTCATCTTGCCAAGTTCTACCTACTCTCACATCCTTTTTGAAATGTTTCAAATGGCCTCAGCGAGGAATCTTATCCTAGTTCACAGTTGATGGAGCGTGACCATTTCTGGATAAGAGAAAGCTTGGGGACCATTCGTAGGTGGGACTTGGCGACCATTTGTAGTTGGGACTTGGGGACAATTAATTAGTAGGTGAGACTTGGGTACTTGTTAGTAATAGTAGGTGCAGGACTTGGGTATCGTTAGTGGGTGGGACTTGTGGACCGTTAGTTGGTGGGACTTGGGGACCATTAATTAGTAGGTGGAACTTGGGTATTGTTAGTAGGTGAGACTTGGGGACCATTAGTAGGTAGGACTTGGGTACCGTTAGTAGATGTGACTTGGGGACCATTAGTAGGTGGGACTTGGGGACCGTTAGTAGGTGGGACTTGGGGATCGTTAGTAGGTGGGACTTGGGGATCGTTAGTAAGTGGGACTTGGGGACCGTTTGTAGATGGGTCTTCAGGACTATCAGTAGGTGGAACTTGGGTACTGTTAGTAGGTTGAACATGGGGACCATGATTGGGTGGGACTTGGGGACCATTAGTAGGTGGAACTTGAGGAGTGTTAGTTGGTGGGACTTGGATACCGTTAGTAGGTGCGACTTGGGGACCATTAGTAGATGGATCTTAGAGACTATCAGTAGGTGGGACTTGGGTACTGTTAGTAGGTTGGACATGGGAACCATTATTGGGTGGGACTTGGGGACCATTAGTAGGTGTGACTTTGGGAGTTTTAGTAGGTGGAACTTAATTGGAGACCATTAGTAGGTGTGAATTGAGGACTATTGTTAGGTGCAGTTAGTAGGTGGGAATTGGTGACCATTTATAGCAGTTGGGATTTGGACATTGGGGACAGTTAGTAGGCGGGATTAGGAGACCATTAGTAGGTGGGAATTGGGGACCGGTAGGGCCGCCGCGAGGTTGGCGGGGGCCCGGGACAAATTTTTTATTGGGGCACCTATTTCAAAAATTTTTCCGAAAAAAATTTTTTCGGTTAACAACCCCCACCCCCACCCCCGTCGACAAAATTCTTTCGGACGAGTACATTGCAATTGCTTTCCAGGGACTTTATATCGAGTTTTCGTACCAGATTTCGGTACTTAGTCCAAAAAAAACCCCACAAAAATGACTGGGGCCCAACAAAAAATTTCCAGGGGCCCCCAGCAACTCGGGGCCCGGGGCAATTTGCCCCCCTGCTGCCCCTCTCGGCGGCCCTGGGGACCGGTAGTAGGTGGGATTTGGGGGACTGTTAGTAGGTGGGACTTTGGAACCGTTAGTAGGTGGGACTTGGGGACCGTTAGTAGGAAAGAACAGCTCCTAGACCAACTCAGAAGCATCCGTTTGCAATACAAATTCTCGGTCTGGGTAACATAGTATTGGTACGGAGCGAAGTAATTTTAAGTTGTTCAAAGGCCGCAGTAAATTCATCAGTCCAAACCATAGATATATTATATACACTAGATAGTGCATCTAATTATTGGACAATTGCCCCCCCCCCCTCCCAGGAAAAGTCCCTTTTTCCTATTTTCTTACTGTGGCATTCAAACGTTCAAAGTTTGCTTCGCC